TTTTACTACATTTTACAATTCTTGATCTTTGGTTGTAATAATAGGCAGATCTCGATTGTACGTATTGCTTATTTTAATGAAAATATTTTGTATATTTGGATTAAACCGTGTGGCATAATCAAAACTAATCTAATTTCACCCCATGCTTTAAATAAAACGTCTGATTGGAATTTCTTCCATTTGTTTTGATTTTATGTACGGTATTTATAAAGGGATTCCGAACATCTACAGGAAAATATCTTTCTACCAGCATACGTAGATTTTCCCTGCGATGCACACGAGCTGAGGAAAAAATTTTAAAGAAACATGCTTATCTCTTAATATATAGGATGATAAATATTTAAGTATAATTATTATGTTTATTCAATTGTACATAGTCCTGGAGGGTTACAAATTCAATTTCAGGCAGTCAGGGGGGCTTAAGCACTTCCTCTCCGTTACAGGGCAATGCTTCCTGTGTCCACCACCCCCCCCCCTCCCCTCTGAAGTATAAATAAATCAAACTCCATCTCGGGACATCATAAATCATGTACAGCAGACTGTACATTAGAACAACCCAGTGTGAAACTGGTAATGCTCGGCTGTTAAACTATTTTAATATAAATATATTTTGAGTTACAATGCTTTGTGTTTGAATAGTGAAGGTATAGCGCAAAATTTATTTGTCACAGTACTGTACTATGGTAATGATTTTGACAATATTTTGGTCATGACAGTCAATAAAATCTCTTTGCATCAGCTGGTATTTAAAACAGCTAATAGAAACACTGTAGCAGTACTTCCATTAGAAAATGACTGGATCTTTGATGGCCTGTGGGGCAGAACAGGGGTAATTTTGGACACTTCTGATATTTTTCCCACCGTCCTTGGACCGTAACCTTTAGAATGAATCCTAAACAGCCTAATATTATAATATGCTACCTTTTTCCTAGCTCAAGATATTTTTTGGGGACCGATTCACTTACGGAATTGAATATATAGATCTGCCTGTGTAATGGGTTTAAACTTCAGGTTTGATAAGTAAGACCCATCCTCTACATAATAGAGTATCAATGGGTTTACAATCTTACACCATTAAATTACCTACATTGCCTATTCCTTTGCTAAAATACCCCCGCCGCAGCAAACCTGCAGACTTAGCGAATTTCCATCTGCCTGATAAGATTTAAACTAAATTGTCTCCTTAAAAATATCACATTTATTCCCTATTTAAACAGAATTAGTTTAATGAGTACTTAGGTTTGCTGCAACAGGGAGGGTAAAAAAGTTTTTTTTAATGTAAAATATTAAAAGGTACTATGGTTTAGTAAGAAATTAATGTATTTTCCAAATTTGATCAAAATATGTTCATAAACAAGCAAACTACAACAGTTGACTTATTCTCCATAAGAATAACATGGGAATTTTAAAATAACAATTTTTTTAAATTTTCTCCGTAACAATTAGGCGCATAATAACGCTTCAATATACTAAATTATTTGTTTTTTTAAGCTCTACAAAATGGTTTAAAAAGAAATTGTGAAATTTTGTGTTTTTAGGGTCAAAAATGGGAAAAACCTATTTTTACCCCATAAAACCCCCCATAAACCCCCGTTCCCATAGTCCGATCAAAGTTTATCCTGCCTTACACCTTCAAACCAAATTTTATCAAAATCGGACAAAAATTACTTAAGTTATCGTGCGGATGGACACATATATATATATATATATATATATAGATATATAAAAATTTGAACGAATGGTGTTTTTGGCCTCTGGGGACATCAAAATGAAAAAGTAAATCGGTCCCAGGCTTAGGTCTTACCATGAGACCTACGGTAATAGCTACTTCCCTATAGGGAAATTCGCTAAAAAACAGAGTCAAAACTCACTGGTGTTTGCATAATATTTGAAACAAACAAACTGCAGATAACGCTAGCGAAATTGAATTTAACTGTTTAATTGCACAACAACTAATAAATCACATCGAGAGAGTTATCAGCTGTTTTGACCCTTGTAATTGTATATAGTGAGAGGATCAGTTCTCCACCAATCACCATGTCATGCACTCCGCCTCCCGTTATAAGGTGATCTTACTCATTTACGACTATTTTAGCCTTTTTATATATAAATTCAAATTTATTTAAAAAAAAATTGAAATCTTACTACACATTGTAGTCTGCTGTAGAACAAAGAATAATATTACAATAAATTTTGCAAGTTTGTTTCCTAATTATCTATCTATATATTAATAGGCAAGCATGTTTCTTTAAAACCTTTTTTCTCAGCTCGTGTGAATCGTAGGGAAAATCTACGCATACCGTTGGAAAGCTATTTTCCTGTAGGTGTGCAGAATCCCTTTATAAATTTAAATAGGCTCAAAGATAAGCACAAAAAATGAGTTTAAAAATTTGAAAAAATTAACATGGATCTTATGCGTTGCTATGCTGGTTACGAAATAACAACGAAATATAAACAGAAAATCAAAACAAATGGAGGAAACTCCAATCACATGTTTTATTTACAGTGTGGGGTGAAAATAGATAAGTGAGTACATTACATATTTTTGGTCGAGTTTCGACCACTGGACGACCTCTCGTGATAATTATTATATAGGTGGTTTCTTATAATATTAATAGAAAATTTTATGGCTGTTAAAGATATTAAATATAGCACTTGATTTTCCAAATTGTTGAGAATTGTTCCTCTTGATCCAGTTTCTAAACTTAATACTTACTTAAGTTGGTCTCCTAAACTCAATTCCACTTTCATAGCCCAGTATGGGTCATATGGGATGGTCATTGTATTAACATTACTGCAAACAGCATGCTTAATTGCTTATTGTCATGCAGGATTCTGGATTTGTCAACTGTTTTTGCGACTCTTGACAATTTCTTAGTTGACACTAAGATCATAGATGTTCCTTACCACACGAAGAATGTGAATAGAATAGCAAAAGCTCTAAGTCTCAAAAAAATATCTAAAATTTTAGTTTTCTAAAAATATATCAAGTTACTGTAACACAGAAATTAATTTAACAAACATACTTTTGAGGATATGGAGGTAGAACCCAATTCCCCAATAATTTAGGATCATCCCTCTCCAATCAAATCTTTAGGAATCCAAACGCCAAACCAAACCATCCATCTGCTCATATATTCACCTTTTCTAATTCACCTTGGATGATTCCAAGTTGAGGTCGTCATGGTTGCAACTTAGGTCAAGGTTAGGACAAGTTCTCTCTATGAATGTTGAGAAGCGTTTGACCTCAAATGTAGCTATTCAGAAATAGACTGACTCACATTCTGCACTAACCTCTCGTTTTAGTCCATCTGTTAAATTATTTTAATTGCCTCCCCCCTCTCCACCATTTCCTCTACCTTCCTCTCCTCTCTGTCTGCTCAGTGACAGTGTATAGGGGAGACGAAGCTGGCAGTTTCATTATTCGTTAGTTTTCTTTCATTGTTTCATTAACCATAATTGTCATAGCTAATGGAATCCCATCCTTGTTGGCATTTGGCAATAGAACATACAATGTTTAAAATAGTTGTTTGTGTTAAGCTAACCAAACACAACTGTAAGGAAACATGTTGAATGAATATTTGAAAGTTACATTATGGAAAGCTATAAAACAATAGCAAACAAGTTGTCTTCGTACTTTATTTTGAATAGATCCACTCTATTACCTAATTTAAATTTATGTTTCTCATTTCAGAATTTCAAAAGTTTAAGAGGTTTTAATTTTCTAGTAGTATTTATCAAAACGACCTATGTATCATAATTTAGTTATGAAAAAGAATATTCAATCACATTCTTTTCAATATTGTTTTTTTTAACAAGAAGGTATACAGTTTTTCAGTCATTCTGTTGTTAATTCTAGTGGCAAAGAAAGTAAATTAGGCCTTTTAATTGATCCGTGAAATTCAACAACCCAGAATATAAAAATAACAAAATGTATAAATAGTTTTTCAAATATATTACAAAGTTCATTGTTTGACATTTACTTGTCAGTAAAGTTATAGCTCTTGTTTATTTATGACTCTCTCATAAACTTGAAGGTTATCTAGCTGTGTTGAGGTTAACAAAATTTCATTACTGAACCTTGTCTTGTATTTTAGGATCTTAGATAACGCAACTACAGTTAAGATTTGGTTGTATTGTGTATTAAATTTACAAAATGGATATTAAATTATTTTTATCTTATAGAGAATAGTCCAATAGTGTTTTATAAATTTAAAATCAGGACCCAATATTTACTATCTCAATATTACACTTTGCAGTCCAAGTTTCATTAATAGACCAAAAGCCGATTGAAAAGTGCCTAATAACACTTTCAACTTTTTATATAAGACAATTTAGATTGAACACCTAAGTTATCCTCTGACCCAACCAGTGAACTATGAAAGCCACAAGCCAGAACTATGCCTCATTCATTCGCGGAAGGGGAGATGATAACCATTTTTCTGCAATTGTGGGAGGCCTTATCTATGTGCACACGACCACTGGGGACGATTTAATGATGTCTTCACGGCAGCGAGGGGTGATCAGAATTTGACCGCCATCGCGCAAGACGATAATTATGTCTACACGGCCACGAGGGATTATCAGAAGTTTAACGCGGCCGTATGCAAATACAACCACAAAATATTTTATTTTCCAATTTTTTGCCCCCCCCCTCCAAAAAAAAGCCAATTGCCTCGCACCCTAGGCATGTGCCTATTCGGTAAATCGGCCATGGTGGTGGATATCGTGCCATTATTCAGTGTTAAGTCAAGCTCTCTCTTGTGCTAGCACATCTTAATTATAATGATACTTAGTTTAGTTAGCCTTTGGTTTTTTAATTGAACATTTTATGCGAAATATTACATTAAGAGTCATATCTAAAATTTTTTGGAGTGAGTCCAGATTGTATATTTAAAATAGTTCATCTAAGGATCTAAAGACCATGTTGGCATAATCATCGTAAGTCTTGTATCGAAATATGTTGGTGGTCAAACTAAGCCTACGTTGGTTTGTTACAGGTGGTTCAAGCACATATCAGATGCTGCCGAAGCTTACAAGACTAGGGAAGGAAAGCATCGACGCCAGGACACCAGCACTCACGAAGACAACCATGACAAAACCAAAGAGTAAGTAGCTTGACATACACATCCATTGGCTCATTGTTTTCAGTGTGAAAAATGGATAGATATTTGTTAAAGGTATTTATAAGTGTCCGTGGCAGCAAAACATTAAAATACCACCCCCGCCGCAGCAAACCTGCAGACTTAGCGAATTTCCATTTGCCTGATTGGATTTAAACTAAAGTGTCTCCTAAAAAATATCACATTTATTCCCTATTTAAACAGAATTAGTTTAATGAATACTTAGGTTTGCTGCAACAGGGAGGGTAAAAAAGTTTTCTTAGATGTAAAATGTTAAAATGTACTGTGGTTTAGTAAGAAATTAATGTATTTTCCAAATTTTATCAAAATATGTTCATAAAGAAGCAAACTACAACAGTTGACTTATTCTCCATAAGAATGACATGGGAATTTTAAAATTACAATTTTTTTGAATTTTCTCCGTAACAATTAGGCGCATAATAACGCTTCAATATACTAAATTATTTGTTTTTTTAAACTCTACAAAATGGTTTTAAAAGAAATTGTGAAATTTTGTGTTTTTAGGGTCAAAAATGGGAAAAACCTATTTTTACCCCATAAAACCCCCCATAAACCCCCGTTCCCATAGTCCGATCATGCTGGTTCGCGAACTCATTCAAGTTTATCCCGCCTTACACTTTTAATTTTATTAAAATCGGACAAAAATTACTCAAGTTATTGTGCGGATGGACACATATATATAAAATAGATATATAAAAATTTGAACGAATGGTGTTTTTGGCCTCTGGGACATCAAAATGAAAAAGTAAATCGGTCCCGGGCCTAGGTCTTACCATGAGACCTACGGTAATAGCTACTTCCCTATAGGGAAATTCGCTAACAACGTTTCACATATAGACCTTACTTTCCTTGAATATAAATAAAATAACAAAATATTGGAAAGTCAATTATGAATTTATGAATATTTTTACTTTTCCACAAATTAAAGTAGCCTTTTCTTATTCTATACATCTAAAAATTATTTTTTTTGTTCAAGAACTGTACTTTCCTTTATCTTCTTAAGAATCTATCTAACATTAAATTGCTATTATTATTTATTATTATTCATCTAATAGTATTCATTTTGCAAATTACTCAATACCCTTTCTACTTTCAACATTACACAATATTTCATCAAAGATACCAACCACAGAAGATGTATTTACAGTTTAACTCATAAATGTTTACAGACTAAATGGAATTCTGCGTAAACATAATTTGTTTACGTTAATTTTCCTCAAACAACAAAGTAATGTTGTTATTTCATGGTTTGATAGTCACTAATTACATTTGGATATTAGTGAAAGTGATTAATGTATTTCTGCATAGCCACGTTCGGATAGAAAAATGGTATCCCAATGAATCGATAAATAAAGAAACAGAATTTTCTGCACTCTGATTGGAAAGATAGTTTGGATCAATAACAAATAATGTAAACTAGAAACTGGGAAAATAATTTGGATTCTGTTTATGAACAGAGAGTAACAGACAAAAGCGAACATTTCATTCCAGCCCAGACTTTGCTAATATTAGAAGAATCAATATCAGAAATGTTGTTAAAATGGAAGAGAGGAATATTGGAGTGGAATTTACTTTGCAAAATTGTATTCCTCCTTTTTGTTACAAAGCTCTCTAATGATTAATGGAACACTTTTGAAATTTAAAATTTAATCTTTGTTTTCTTAATAGTCTTAAGTCACGAGTTATATCAGTTCCCATCTGTACTATTCATCTTTATCCAATGTTATACAATTAAAGCTACTCTTGTTATTTTACTCTTGCTTATTATTCATTAATTACTTATTACTTCAGTACAACTCATTCAATGATCTACTAATACATATACTTTTCTTAAATAGAATAAGGCACTAAGAAAGCTCTGAAGAACGCCATTTGTATTAACTTACAAGTTGGTTTGCAAAATAAATTATTCTCTGTTTTTTACTGATAAATCTTACTGCACCTTTCAGTCAAGTATGGAATTGAAATGATGATGATGTTTTACTGATGTTGCTCCTAATCCTATAAGTACCCCCTATAAGGGGGAGCAAGCTGGCGTAGTGGCTAGAGCGCGGGACTTCAGTCCCTGAGGTTCCGGGTTCGATCCCCACCAAGTCACCAATGGAATTTATCTAAGTGAAATGCCGCAACCCCTAGGTCTAGCCTGAAGTAATGTGAAAAACAATCCCAGGCTCTTGCCTAGCGTCCTAGGAAAAAAAAATTCCTATAAGTACACTTTAGATAATTTTCAGTCTCCCCCTTCCCTTAAAAAGTCCATCCTAGAGCTGGTACTTATTTCAGTAGAATCGGCTCTAAGTAAAAAGAAACTATTCATTCGTGTACAATGAGTGTACCAAACTGACAACTGAGGCAACTCGTCTCTCATTTACAAGGGACAAAACGAGACGTAGGAATTGGCTAACTCAAGAGATCGCTAACTCGGTCGTGTGTTGGAACTGGCTAACTCTGGAACTGGCTAACCGTCTCAGTCAGGAATTGGCTAACTCCGGAACCCGCTAACTCGATTTTGTCTCGCGGCAGAATTCGCTAACTCTGGAAGTCGCTAACCCGGCCGCGCCCACTGCATGGAGCGTTGCCAACCTTGCACGACAAAATAATCGTACATTACCGTATTTCAAAATATCAGTGTCAATGAAGATACAGTAAATGTAATTGTTTTTGTTATCAATTCCACTTTCAACAGATAACCAGCCCAAAGTAATTCAAAGACAATTATTAAAAAATCATGAAAAGTGTTTTTTTATTTAACTCTACAATGACCAGTTAAATGTTTATGATTTTGATCTTAAATATAAATGCCATAAGTATAAAAGAAAATAATAGAGTTGAAAAATATTGAAAAGGTACTAAATAATAAAACCTCTACGAAATTAAGCTAAAATACACGCTAGTTCTCAAACACGGAAAACAAATTTAATCGTAATGTCATCAAACATCAACCATCAGTCATCAACCATCGTAACTTTCATAACTAATTCATAGATTTAAAATTAAATGTTCGTCGTTGAATCGTCCAACTTACGTGTAAAAATATGACATTAGACTAAGCTTTTATCTAGGCCTAATAGTTTAAGCCAAAACGTTGTAGGCCTACTAGTAAATAGTTGCCTAATTCTAAAATGTGTTGAATTTTTTAGTAATAATGTTACATGTTTTAAATAGACTAATTTTTAATTCAATCTATAAATAAATTAGGCCTACAACTTTATAATATTGTATTGATAAATGTGTATTTAAATTCAATAGCTCTATTTAAAAATACATTACCACCACAATGTATTTCTGGACTGACAATTAACGTGTAAATTTTATCATGATTTAAGATTCAATTTTATGATTCAACGTTACAAGCCCAGTATATAAAATACGAACTCAATAATTTATTTGCAGAAGTTCAAAAAATGGTATTTATTCGAATAAAAGAAACAAATGGCGAACTACGAAAATAGATATTTCATAACATGTAAAAGATCCAAATTAAATGTACATTTTTATCTTTTTGCATACCATAAAGCTACTATTTAAGTAAGAAGCCCAAATATAAAACATACTCCCCTATATTAGTATATTTCTAATCCTTATGGATCAGCTGAAAACAGTTTTATTGTTAGTTCTGTCCGGTGCACTGTCTTTAGAGGTCGTGTTTTGTTTACAATTGTTTCTTGTTTCCAGTCATTTAAAACCTCGTTTAACCAAATAAAATGTTCTAATCACAACTAATAACACGTCCCCTAGTTATATAACCAAACAGTAAAGAGCAAATTATGAAGTTAACTATAGAAATAATAGAAACACAAAAAAAAAAGATTTTGTTGACACTAGCGATCAGTGTCACCGGACATGAACTAGACGCGAAAAACGAGTTTCAAAGTTTACAATGGGATATAAAGTTTACTTGTGTTGGTTAGTCTATGGTAAGACTATAATGCATTTTCCACCCTAATAATCATGAGAATAATGTTAAACATACTTCTCAATATATTTATTTGATCAACTACGTTGCTCTTACTCCTAATTAATCGTAGGATACGACATTATGGTACCGATACTATATAGGTACTACACTTTCGGTAACACTGGCCAAAAATATTCGTGCTTGGCTCCCATTGGACAGCCCGCGAGGCTTCTGATTGGGAGTTAGCGAGTTCCGCCGAGGGACCGAGTTAGCGACTTCCGTACGAGGACGGAATTCGCTAACCCGGCTCTAGAGCCGGGTTAGCGGGTTCTGGAGTTAGCCAATTCCGAAACCGAACAAGTTAGCGAGTTCCTCTCATCGACCAAATTTGAAGATAGGGCTTTTAACATGGGGTTAGCGAGTTCCAGAGTTAGCCAATTCCGCGGACCCGACAAAACTACTCTATGAGATATTTTTGTCTGGGGGGATTATTGCTTGATGTCGAAAAATTCTTGTAGATTTAGAATTAGTTACTTGTCCTTTATCCTAAAGAATTTATTGTTCATGCTAAACTTATCTTTGTAGATCTGAGGAGTCGGGAGCCAGCAACAGTGAGTTGTTGTCGGCCCAGCGAGCAGACGACAACCAGAGTGACGCAGCATCTCCGACACTCCTTGCCTCCAGTGAGACAACACCTCAAGCCTCTCCCTCCCCTCAGCATCCTGACACGCCTGAACCTCCCTCCCGCAAGAGTGGTGAGTTAGTCTACGTTGATATTCAAAGATCAAGACATTACAATCAATCTACTTTTTACTGCTTCATTCCCATATTGTGTTTGGTCTAGAAGTATATGATGCAAAATGGCTAATTTTAACCACAAAAAAATGTTACACCTTAAGGTTGTCTATCACAACTATATAGGCTTTTTTATTTTCAAAACTCAAGATTTAAGAACGCTCTATAATTGCATTTAACACAAATTGGTCCCAATGATTTTAATTGCTATTGGGCTAACAAATAAAACTTTGTATTGCAAAAAATATCTTTATTTTAATTAATTTTTGTATGATTAGAAATTATTTTTTATTTTACAGGTAATTTTTTTATTATACCATTCATGTATACTTTATATTGTATATGACTGAATAAAGAAGTTTGAATTCATCAAGTTTTGTGTTCCAGTTAGGCCAATGAATACAAATATTCTTTAAAAAGCGTAATGTTTATGCATAATAGTCAGACTAGAATTTTGCTGCCAAAATGAGCTTTGTACGGCCACCACTAGGATCGCTCGTGCGGCGGCCGCGCTATTCTATCCCTCTCTCTTTCTCTAAGCAGATTTTTTGTCTCACTCAGTCAGCTGACTTGGCCGCATGCTTGCTATAGTCTACCTAGCGGCCGCCTCAAGAACTATCTAAAATTCAATCATTTCCAGACTGAATTTGTAACGAAAGCATTGCCCTTCTTATTGGTTTTGTATCTTAATTGGTAAGGCTTACATTAGCATTTAAGTTCAAATCAATTGTAAAACTACCAATAGAAAATTACATGTTCACTAAATTTCAGTTTCACCGTTGAAGCTTGACTATATTTCTCCTATTGTGACTGCAGGTGAAGGACTGAGTCCCAGTCCGGTGCGCCGTGTTGCTGAACCTCTGCGCCAGACGACGGCGGAGAGTTGTCTCATAGAACCTACGGAGGTGGTCATCTGTCAGAGTCCCGTGCTCACAGCTGAGCCAGTCCTCACACCTTTAGGTGAGTTGTAACTAAAAACCTTTTGAAAATCAAAATACTCAAGATTCTAATCTTCTTGCAGTTATCTTCATCAATGTTATCTGCAATGTTATCAAGTTATCTGCATCATGCTTATGCAAACAAAAGTATTAAAAAAAACGTATGTATAGTAACAATTTAAAGTGTTATAAGCAGGCGTAATGTGAAGCAAGTGCTGTGACTAGTATCATTGACTATTCTATACAGAGGTAGACATCCCATTTACATAGATCAACTACTCTGTACACAATATTTTGGAATAAAAACGCTCCCCTAGCGCTCACAGAGTGTCCTTTAAACAAAATTATATTTTATCCATTGGATTTTGATTTATATAAACTATCAATTTTATTATTTGATGTAGGACCTAAAAGATGACACGGTTTACACTAAGTTTTCCTTTCAGATTTGCTCGGTTAAAAAGCCAGTTTATACAATATAAATCAGTAATTATTGACTTCAGACACTGTCTGGAAGGGAATATTCAACTTTGTTTATTTCTACTCTAAAACTGTCTACAACTCTGGAGATAGAATGTCGGATAGTGCTAACAAAAGTTTGTACTTTGGTAGCAGATGTGGGTTATAGATCAATAAATTTTTTGGGATAGATTAATAGATTTTAAGATATTTTTTTATAACTAAAATAATATTCATACTAATTTTGCTATTTCCTGGTTTTTATTAAAATTATATAACTATCATTCAAACCCCTAAACCTCTTCCCTTTAATTTGTGAATTATTTTATGTAATTGGCCAAGTAAAACATGTAGACTGTTCTTACAGAGAAACTGAGACGAACGGACGAGCGTATACGGGAGTCGCTGGAGGAGAAGCGACACCTCGTGGCGGAGATACTGCATGTGCCACCAGCCGAGTATGACACCATCTCAGACATGGCGGCCGAGCCTTCCCATGACAAAGAGCCCCAGGAGATACTACTGGCTCTGTCCAACCAAGGTACAGTATAGACTCGTGCAGAGTAGTTTTTGTTGGTTTCAACGCCATTGGTGTTTTATAAATCACCAAACGCTTTCAAGAGAAAGTTTTTCTAACCCCTTAAATTTTCTGTGAATAAGTAGGGGATCACACTTGTTCATCAAGGTTTGGAGTCCAAGACACTTATCACGAGGCTATTATAACACTGAAGTAAATTCTGAAATATAATAGGCACATAAAAGAATGTGTACTATTGTCAGGCATTGGACCTGTCCCTTTTACACCAAAGTTTGAGCCGCTAATCACGAGGAGAGCAACACACATAAACAAATTTTGTTTCACAGTACATGAATGAATTTGTAACATTTCTGGGGACTGAACCAGATTGTCTCACAATGAATTGTTGATTCAGTAACACCCAGGCTAGCAACACATCCTAATGATTCCTGAAACATCCCAATTGAATTATGTCTATAGCTCTTGTTTCACCAGTTAAATTTCAAATAATAATAGTCTTTTACAATAACTATTGTTGTTCTGACAGCCAACAAGCTAACGTCAGTGATTAACGAGTACCTGCAAGTGACAGAGGAGGAGGCAGTGACGGCCAGTAGAGCTGTGGAGGAGAGACAACGATGTCACTTGCCCAGTGTTCCGGCACATGTTCTGCAACAGATCAGCTCACAGTTCAACTCTCAGTTGACTCTACTCATGGTGAGTGCAATGTGTAGACATGCTTGTGATGTAGGCGATGGTAATATTTCTGTCATCAGAGATCATATAGCAAATCCACAGTGTTCCTTTAACCTCCCAATGCTAAAAGTTAACATCCCATCTATAACATTCACCATTGTAAAATTTGAAGCTGATTTGGTGTATGTTATTTGTATTTAACTCTAGAGCAAATCCTAATAATTTAAAATAAATTTATTTTGGTATTTTGTGAATCTACTAAAGCAGAATAAATATTTGGTTATAATTTATGACTTCGTCTCGTACGTGAAACTCACTCACAAATTTGGTATTCCAGTGGCTTTACTTCAGTTAACGACACTCTGGAAAATAGCACTTTTGGTACTACTAATGAAATGGACTAGCCTACTCCTATATGGGAGAGGAGTTTAATTGTGAAACACTAAAGAAAGTCAGCTCAGCCTTCATTGACTAGAAATCTAGGGAAAATATATTAATCTTAAAATTCATTTTAACTATCAATTTTATTTTATTTTGTTTTTACTTTTTTACAGAGTGTTATGAAGACACGAGAAGAGGAGAGAGTTATGTTTCGACATGAGAATCAGAGGAGTAGAGAGCAATTGCATGCTGTCTATGAGAGACAACCTGCGGCTACGTTAAATACTTCCACGGACAACCGCTCTACGGATAACCGACGATCCATGGACTTAGAACCTGGTGAGTATCCTGGCGCACTTGTACATGACACAACTATATTGCAGTTAATATCTTTTCTTTGTTACAATCAGGCAAAAATGTTGACAAGTTTTCTGAATTGTGTTCCAGGTCCCTATTTTGTATTGCAACTTTGTTACATAAATTTTTTTTCCACCTTGTAATTCAATGAAGCCTATTGTAAATCATGTGGTTGTAATAGCATGAAACTTTTTATTCTTTTTTTTTTCAAGAAAACACAACAACTCTAAGACATTAGGTGCCTATTACACTGTAAATAAGTTTCATGCGATTGAAACTGTGTGCATGTACACAAACTCCCTGCTCGCTACCAAAATCACTCTGCACTTTCCTTTGCATTAAACCTTTCGATTTTTTCAAGGCAAATGCTATGCTACATTTAGAAACAGAGTAATGCAGTTTGATTTTTAATGCAAATAATATTTTGAAATAAAAGTTGCGATACATAGTAGGGGTCTTTAATGCTAAAAATATGTTTTACCTTTTCAATTATATTCCCCATCTAACAGCTTAATTCTGAGTTGGTTTATAGAGAATGATTATTAGCTCACTTTCTTGATGAGTTTGATTTGATATAGTCACACAACTATTGATAGATTTGTTAACCAATGATTTTTTTACCCCTAAAGTCAACTAGACTCTTTTTAACTAATCCATATTTTTATTAGTTGCTTTATTTTTAAGTTTAACATTAGTTAGTGTATAACTCTGTTATGTGTTGAGTGAAAGCCTACAAACAAATAGTTATCCGCCTTCTAACAAGAGAAAGTTTTGCGCTGAAGTTTCTTCAATGGAACTAAAAGTAATTAATATAAAAATATAACAAATAGGCCTACTTCTTAGTTACTTTTTGCTTCACATTACAAATGAATGCACCCGAAGCAGTTAAATGCCACAGTGCACAGGTTTTCACATTTTTCATGAAATTGCAGTATTTTTTTACAAAATATATATAACACAACATTATTACTTAAATTTATTTACTTTACCTGGTAATTTTCTTTCATTCCTCTTATGTAAAATATAAAAGTGTGATTTTTTGTTTCAACCCCCGGGGGTTGAACCGGTTTACCCCACCGTTATCAGACCCCCCAAATTGGTTGACTGTTTCAATATTTGTTCTATAATCTGGAGTTAATCTATATACTGCATATAGTTAATATGGAACACAAACTTTTGAGAAAACCGTAAGCAGCAAACTTTTCCACCGCATACAAATAAAAGGTCAAGAAAAAAATTTAATTTTTCTATAAACCCCTTCCCTAAGGGCACGAACCTGAATTCTTTAATGATTATAAGAGTGTTGTAAACAAATTTTAAATATTCAATTTGTGTAATTACAGTAAATTTTCTTATTTACTAATCAGTGGTACAAAGAGAAATCATCCAAAATATTTAGTAGATTATTCCATTGTTCTCCCAAGTTGAAATATTTTTTTAAATGTCTATAAAGTTTTTGGTTAGGACATTTTGTTTCAATTTCCAATTGAATTAATAATTATATATCCAAACTAAATTATTCAACTCTCCTTTCAAATTTGAGAAATACAATAATTAGTTGGACAATTAATTCTTGAAATTGCTTAACTAAAGAACATTTCTCATCCAATCAGTGTCCATATTGATCCAAGTTTAAGTTTAGGAGAAGCGTAAATTAATTCATTCCATCAATCAAAACATATGATAAAAAAAGTTTTCATTTCAGTCTTTGCTTAAATCCACCCTACCTTGACACTTGTCACAATACACTATTGGGTTTTATTATCACATCTTTGCTGTGCACTGTTTACCACCCATCCTGTAGTGTTTGCGTTCGCAGTGTTGTAAATGCTTTGCTTTGCAGTAGACATTGGAGCTGCATGTATAGAGACTCAAAGCATGCCACAAGATGAAGCAGACAAGGATCAGAATTCAGCTAAAATACCCACAACGCCGGAGGTATGTAACTGAAACTACAGGTATAACCTTTATGTTTCTCAAAAAAATTTTTTTAGATCATATTTGTTTAAGTAATATTTTATGTAGCAAATCCATTGAGAAGTTCACTGATGTCAATTTCTTTTAATTTTTTTTTATCATTTTCACTAAAATAATATATATTTAATGCCTAAATTCTCATAGAGGTTGTATATTAAACTCTTAACCGGCCAGACTAGACAGCACTATCAGTTTCTTCTTCTGCCAATATGACTCTAGGAATCAGAATCTTCTTCATAGTTTATTTGAATAGAACATTAATGATTGATACTCATATTTTTTTTGAAAAACATTGATTTAAACCCTAACCCAATTTATTAAATAATCTTCAATCAAAGAAAAAGAAAATATTTTACCTCAGTCACCTACCTACTACAGGTCCACGATACTTTCAAGTTGGGTCTGGCCAGCAGTTAGCCCAAGGGATTGGTTTGGGCCAAAAATGTTTATTTTAACGATCGTTGAAAGCATTTGATGCACGATTGAACAATTCAATTGAAGATTTCATTTCGCATGCAGCTGAAGATCATGGCGATTGTCCTGACAATGATGTTGCAGTGGCCGCAGAAAATGTTCACGATTTTGCCGTAACCTCGGAAGATGTTCTCGATCATACCATAATCGCGGAAGATATTCACGGTCTCACTGTGACCGTAGAAGATATTCTCAATTTCACCATGACCACGAAAGACTTTCACAATTTCGCTGTGACCTTAAGACTATGTGATTAGGCAGCGATCTCGGAAGATGTTTGCCATTTTACCAAAAGACATTGACGATAAGCAGAAGGTTATGTATAATTTTATGCAAACCAACGGTAGTATTCATGATCATTCATCTGTCATTTTTAAAAATATTTTCCATAGCAATAGCAATCCGATTTTGGCCCAACTCCAAATTAGTTTGGGCCCAACCCTGGCATGCAAGTCTGGCATGCAAATGCCTATATTTGATGTGCTCTGATCTGTCTAGTGTTGTGTTGCAGGTGTTTGTTGATGCCTTGTCAGGAGAGACGGAGGAGAGTGTCGCCCAGTGATCACGTCGTGTCAGTGTACAGTACTGTTGAAGCCTTGCCCTAGTGCCTAGTGATGTTACCAGACACTACCGTGGTGCTCATTCCAGACAGTTCGGGACTAAAATGTTACAGATAATCAAAGAGATTTGTTATTATTTTGATAAGTTTATTCGAGTGTTGTTTGTCTCGTTTTTTATTATTGCGTTGTTCGATCCTGGGTTTAATTTATTACGAGACGAGGTATTGTAGAGTAGTCGTAAGATGTTTCCTATATGCATTTATACAGTATTGTCCCGGTGTGGAAGTTGGTGCTACTCGTGCCGAAGCTAGAGTCGACTTTGCGCTCGTCCCTTGCGGTTTTGGCTTGTTCTGTGATAACGAGACGTTTATTCAATCGGCTTAGTCTAAATAATTTGCTAGCGTATTTCCGGTGTTTCTTTTGGAAAAGGTTCGGAAGTGTTATATTTTTTACATTTTATTTGTTTTGTTGTTAAGACGATTGTAAACAAAGGCCTAAATCCAAAAGGATTGTACATAATAGTTTTATTATAGAGCGCAAAGTTGTCTCTAGTGATGATCTGTGTTTGTAATATTTTTTTGTATAAAATACTTGTATATTTTGCCTGTATTGTATTGTTCGAGCACTACTGTTTTAATATTTTATTTTTGTCACTTCTGATAGAACTAGATCTGTTACCCCCATTGCGCTCTAGAATTTAATTTTTGCAGTATTATGTATTGTTTTGTAATTATTGTCATTTAAATGAACCAGTTTTTAAAACATTAAAAAGTACGAGCTTTATAAATTTAGATTTATTAAGGGATTAAAAAAATATGCTTGAATTATTTGATTGGCCAAACATGCGCATGGCTCATTTAATCTTTCTAAAGGCGTTTTGTTTTTAACAAAGTTTATTCAGTTCTTTACATGTATACATTTATACATATTTTTTTACTTATAATATTTTTTGTGTATGATAAATTTATTTTTTGAGCTATTTATTTTGTCAATAGTAATTGTATGTTTATTATCTGTTCAATCCCAATACATTATGAAAGCTACAAAATAATAAAAAAAAATGTTGACTAAGTTTTAATTATTTATTTTATATAAATCCTTGATAAATGTTTCTTGAATGTAGGACATTACATTGTGGTATTTGTAACCAAAGTATGATTTTTGTTGTAAATAGGACAATTTAATGTACAATATTTATACAGTCGGTAGGAGCATTTACTCATCCGAAGGCCTATGAGATCATTGATATAGAAGCATGCATATTATTATAACCCAGCTGACATGCTACTGTATATTCTTGTAACACACATGTATTGTATATAGACTGAATCACGTAAAAATAAACACATATTGATATATAAATAACTAACCAGTTGTTTTATTTTTCACCGTATTAGTATAAGATTATAGGAAATATAATTTTCTAATACCACATTACATAACATGGGAAGTATGGAAATTAGAAAGATTTAAGAAGCCTGCAAGAAATGTAAATAAAGTGGTATGGGCATTATTAAATACAATGTTGACTGGAAACAAAACAAAACATAGTTTCTCCAAATTCAGTTGAAAGGTTTTTACAATTAATTCTATATTATTGAACAAATTATAATTTCAGCAGCAGAGTTTATAAAAACTTTTAAGTTTTGTGTGTAACTGTTGATCTCAAAACCTTTAAAGTTTACACAAAATTATGACTTATTCATATCCTTAAAGGTGGCAGATTAAATAAATCTGACATATTACTTAACATACATGGAAGTACAAACAGCAACTCTAAACAAACAGTGTTTTACATTATACTGAAATATCATCCCTGTATTTTCAAAAGATCCAAATAGAGGTTAAGGTGATAAAAACCACATCTTCCCCAACTATTGCCAGAAAGCTGGTTTAACTGTCAGTTAGAAGCTGTTAAAACATATATAACTTACATCTCAATATCCTTTTCATATTCTCAACACCAACATTCCAGTAGATTGGTGAAGACAACAATTTTAAACACAATTTAGGATTACAAAAGAAATTGCTGTGACACATTTTTGTGTGGGATAAAAAATTTACCAATTATAAAACATAAACATTTTATTCAAAGGTTTTATGGTAGAAATGTGGTGCTAGTTCCTCTAGCCATTCAGGTTGGATCACAGTCAGTTCTCTCATGTAGCTCCTGTCAGTCTGCACAACCTCACAGAACAGCAACCTGCGAACAAATATTCACTGTGAATCTTGCTCAAAACCGTCATGTTTCTGAAACCGATACTTTTACACTCATATAATGTTGCTTGAAACACAAGTTGTAAATAAACAGTGTAACCAATTGTCGAGAAATCTGTGGATTGGTTTAAGTTGTAGTTATTACCTGCTTTACTTTAAGTTTTAAGTAGATAAGTTATAAATTAATTTGAGTGTAAGTTCTGTTTCAATTTTATTTTTTTCACTAAGTTTTGATTATTTTCTTAGTAACAAAATAAACAAAATAAAATGCAAATCACAGCTGTCTAAAGACATTGCAGTAGCAACACCAATTGAGACAAGCCCCAGAATGATATAGTCACATTGACCATAGACAAAAAGAATTAAATATAGACTGTCAGCCGTGCTGCGGTTGCCATGGTTACCATAGGTTCCGGCGCACACCGCTGCAGTTTACGTAGCGCGTACGCCGTGTAACTACGGTGGTGCTCCAAGCGGTGTGCGCCAGAACCTATGGTAACCGCAGCACAGCTGACGGCCTATATTTAATTCTTTTTGTCTATGCATTGACTTACCATTGTATGTTATGACATTTACTGTTGCTGACAGTAGTAGTAGGCCTAAGCAACCTGATCCAAAAATAGTTGCTTTACTTGGTCTGATAAAAATTACTAATCATTCAAATTCTTGGCAACACTCAAGCAACCTCACCAACACTAATCCAACTAACTAAATATTTGGATTTTAACTTTTATATACAGTCCAATTTCAACCCCAATTGGCAATTTTATAGACTTTCTGTGTAAAAAATTATGCACTTTAAAATTCCAACCACTATTCACTATTTTTGTTTACTTCTAGACATTAAACTAGAACTTCAGTTTTATAGCTCCCAAAAGATTCTGGGATGATAAAAGTTGATATTTATACTAGTATATTAATCAAAATACCTTTAAACCCATTAGTAAAAATGCAAAACTGTCAGTTTGAATAATAAAAAAAGTGTAAATAGAACAATGTGAAAAAGTAAAATGTTAAGGGTGAAACAAATGATATTTTATACCTCCTTAGGGCATAATTTGCACCACCATAGACCATACTAACAAAATGATCTCAGGCGTAAGAGAGAGGTGTGTGTTTTCATCAGCTCAATTGTTTTCATGCCGTTAGAAAGTAACCAATACACATAATATTTCATCATTTACCAACAGCAATTAGTCTGTACCTTTCCATTCAAAACATTCAACAGTTATTGCTCTCTATTTATTGTTTAAATAACTTAAAGCAGGAGACTCAGTCAAAATTTGTTTTGCCCTTGATCCCTGCTAAATCATATTATAGACTACATACCGCCATGACAAGATTACATCTTTGACCATAGAAGTAGACGTCCCATTCCTATGATAAAGCTGCAGCCACTTAGATAATAAACAAGTTAATGTTGGAGTGAGCTACCACCAGAGTGCACTGATTACTGATTTCTCTTGAACGTGCTAACTTTTAAACAAAAGCCAAACTAAAAGAACAACTTATTGTAAACCATAGCGTCTTATGTCACATCAATTATCAAATGTAACACAACAATTTTGACAACAGTACATTCGACTACGTTCTAATGAATTAAAAAATTGCCAATAGCAGGTCTACATAGATGGGACGTTGCTCACCACTGAGGTTGCTCCAGAGTGTACAGTACGGACGTCGGATGAACGTGCAACACCACGTCTCCTCTCACAGTCTTGTACACTCCGGAGTGATGCAGGTAGGCAGTGTTGGGGAAGAAACCTGCAGTGAAACATCGCCTCACCTTACTGCTGTCCCCTGCGACAGTTGGATCACTTAGTGTTACAGCACTTTACCCAATGTACTAAGGTGCTAATCCAGCCAGGTGATTAGAACCTGTGCAAGGTCTGGAGAAAATAATAATAGCTTCCATTGTTTTCCAATATATTTTAAATATCTTCTCTATTGCTTACATGTATACTCGAGTATTTAGGCTTACCACAAAAATTTATTTTACAGTGTTTGAAATAGTCACACTAATCTATTCTAATTGAATCCTATAACCACAAAAACGCAACAATTTACAGCTAAAATAAACACTGAAATTTGATCTAATATCACTTTGAAGCAAACCAAAACCATAGCGTGAATCTCAAAGGCAACTGTAGTCGGTCTCAGCATTGTTGCAAAAATAAACAAAGGATAAAACGTAAAACAGGTGGCTGCTAGCAACAGTTAAAGAGCGAAATGGACCGGTGATTAATTTGAAGCTTTAGGACACATTATCAGCCTATAAGTCCTTGGCATTGCTGTGTACATGAAATACAAAGATTCTCCCTCAGCAACACACACTGAAGCCTATAATTACACTGTCGCTGTGAGAGACTGTCGCAGCAAGAGGATTAATTAGTTGATACACAGCATACAAATTAATCTACCAATGAGTATAACTGTTTGTGATCATTGTTGCTGAATGTGTGACTTCTCTTTTTAATAGAGGGTAGTGCTGCTGGCTTACAAAGCATATTTTTACAACAAAGGTACAATTTCACAAGCAGAATAAATTAAAGAAAAATGTATGAAGTTCAAATAAAAGCAATTTCTCTTACTCACACAACAGCGTCTATTTTTTAACATATTGAATAACATTCTGATTGAATTAGGTTGGATTGCTTTCCTAACAAAAATCTGTTATCGATAAAGCCATTATCCTCGTGAAGTTGTACCAAAGTCAAAAAATTATTCCAACGAAGGACTATCTCACTGATACTTTCACAGAAAAGTACAAAGTTACTATATAGTTCCATTGCCTGCTATCAACAAAATTATCAATCATCTATGACCACGTCTTTACTGTAATGTCACCCACCTGCAGCAGATATTATTGGTACTCCGAGTTTCTCACAGAGTTTGAGCATCTGAGATCGTATCTCCGACACTCTCTTCATGGCCTTGTGGTTGACAAAGTGTTTGTGACACCATTCTCTACTGGACTTGTCTGAACGTGCCACCTCTCGTTTGTACGCAGTGTAAACGTTCAGGAGAGTCAGCAAGTCTCCTTCTTCTACCTGGGCAAGAAACAGATGTATATATTATAGAGTTAGTATAAGTTGAAGCTTGAAGCAAATGTAAACTTTGATTATGTTAGATACTAGTGTTATTCGCAGGAAAATTTAAGTCCTTGTTTTATAATTGGCTATTAGACAACCCTTCTTATAGCCTGGACGATTTTTTCAAGTCTGGCCAAATTAATCTTTGATTGCATAAACCTGCTGCTCACCTGTTGCTTTATCAGGTCCTAAATTATTGTTGTTTGTTTAGTCATATGTACATATTTTTATTTGAGTTATTAAGCGCTATTGTTTTTTCAAAATATTGAAAGTGTTTTTGATTTTGTTTTGTTTGACGATTGATGTATGATCATGATTTTGACTTTGTCGATGATCTAATGTATTCTTATGACAAATAAACATTTTTTATTATTATTATTATTATTATTGACAGAAGTCTGATTTACAATTCAAAAGATGTTTCTTAGTTATTATTATTCTGTTAAATGGTATTAACATAATATTTTTATTTTTAAATTCAATTAAACCTAAACCTGAGGGTTCCTACAAGCGGAACACGGAGAGCGGACTCCTCTTGTCTTAGGTAATTTTAATGTTACTGTTTTCCTAGAAGCGGAGCGGAACGCCATGTTAATCGCTTTTCTGCTCTCCGCTCTCATCTTCCGCGTCTAGGAAAACCCGGCTTAAGAAAATAAGGGTTCTAACAGCAAAATTTTAATTTCAGTAATGAAAAGGCTGTACATATACAATGTAAACCTTGTAAGTTTATCAATTCATTCATTCAACTAAAACAATTTTCTATATATTTTCAGATAAGCAATCAGCCGGGTAACTGAGTGGTAATAGTGCTTGAAAAAAGTCATTAACTTTTTGATAGTTTGTATTGTAACTAGACCCAAGTCTAGTTTTATTATTACTTTTATTACTGGGATTTTAATCAATGATCCTGGAAAGAACCTGTTACTCTTGGTCAGTAATAAAGCTACATAAGGATTTGATTCTATATTGATCTACCTCATTAAAAAGATTCACTCACCTCAAACTTGCGCCTCTCTACTCTAGCCTTCACACTGGCAGCTCCACCTGCTGGTCTAGTGAACACACTCTGGACCTGCAGCAAGGCAAGTACACTGGCAGCCTCCTCTGAACAGCCAAACTCTCCTGGTAACCCAACAATATTGGCTAACCTTCGGTATGAACTGCATTTTATGGAATAATATGTTTAAGACATTGAAGCCTATGGGCACTAACAGAGCTTATATGCATAAATATACGGATCATTTTTGTATTAATTCAAAAAAATTTTACTTTTACAGTTTTAATCAAAACACCCAAACCATTTATCATTTTAAAGAAGAAATCAAGATTTTTTAAGAAAATATAATATGTTATAAAGTAATTAAAAATAATATTATTTTTTTTTTAAGACAACAAATATTGTAAAAAGAAAAAAATGGTATGTTATGACAGAGTTAATTAATTGAACCCAATGTTTAAATTTATTGTTTGTGCATACATAAATAGATAAAAATTCATCCTTTTTACCGAATTAAATTTAAACTTTTTTTAATTATTTTTTTAGGTATTATAATTTATATACCTAAAAATTCAACATGTCCGGCTTGTTTAGAAGGTTGGCGAATTTGCCAGAAATCTTCAATTATTGTCATAAGCACACTCTGTAAGTGGCTCAATTCTACAATTTACACTTAATTTTTATTCCAAAACTGGCTACAGCATTTTTAATATGAGAATGGAATGTCTCATCTATACACAGTAAATTCTGTAACCCAAAGTTACCAAGTGTACCTGCTTCATAAATGTTTGTTTTTCGCAAGCAAAGTACTCAAGATAGAATGTAATCAACATGTATGTTCCAACCTAACCCACCACTCACCGGAGGCGAGCAGAACCTTAGCATGGAGTGGAGGGAGAGGCAGCTCCGCCATGTTGGTGCCGAGGGGTTGAGATAGAGCACCGTTGTCATCAATGGCCCCCAGAGCGTGCAGCAGCTGATAGGCTGCGGCCAGGTGTCGTGCAGGCGGAGGCGACGGGAAAGGGAACCTCACAACATTATCAATCCCCAGCGCCTTCAACTGCAGAACTGCACTTGACAGATCCATTCTCTGCATCTCCGGTGGTGTGGTGGTGGGAAGTGTGTCGTAGTCCTTCTCACAGTACAACCTTAGGATGAATTGAATTGAACTTACTTAAAGGTCGATTCACACATATCAGTTACAGCACGTCAAAGTTCAGTCACATCATTCACGCCACAAACAACCAAAATATTCTTTAATGAATTTTATATTGCATTATCTACACTCATCCAGCGCAGGTCCGTCAGTTGATCTGCCGGCATTTGTCAGTCAATTTCAGATTTCTTCTCACCGATATTTTTAGGTTTGTCGGACGCCTGACAGACGTGCTTGAGGTTAGAAAATAGTGTTTTTTTTATTATTATTAAAATGATTGTGCTTATATTTTAACGACTGATTGTAACAATTAACAAGATGGACAGTGAAAATTTGATAGAATATTCAGTTTTATTTAAAAATGTTGACTGTAACATCACTGTAAATAAAGTGACGGAAGACTGACTGTAAACAAATGAATAAGAGTTTGACTGGAAAATTGCGGATACAACTGAGACTGAACTGTGACTGGTCTGTGACCGAACTGATATGTGTGATTCGACCTTTCATTGAAAAATCCTAAGCCTGTCACTCAAAACCAAACACATAATTTAATCAAAGTTTTGATTTTGTTAAGTTTTCTTTGTAAAGTTGTTTAAGCATAATAAATTATGTGATAATCAGTTTGCTCTCAAATATATAGTGAACTTTCAAACAAACTTAAATAAATTAAGATTTCTGACTAAATAGAAATACTAAATTTGTTCATAAAATCTCAGAAAAATAGGACACCTGTAAACTTTGCCAGGTCGCACACGACCAGCCCGGCCGGCCCTCTGTTCAGCTGACGCCTGTGACACTGGTACTGTCACTAGACTGTCACAACATGTGTGTGGGTCGTACCATCGCATTTTCACAAATCCACAGTCCACCACTAGACATTATAGAACAAACAAAGAATGAAGTAATACATGAAAACACCAAATTAAACCTATACTGCAATTCTTTCTCAAACACAGGTAGTTAAAATATTCTAAATATGATACGACCCATTGGATACTACCATTATCCCACCTCATATCAAGTCAGTTGTTGTTTTCTGTAGGTACTATTATGCAATACAGGGGAGTGAGAAAATAGGTACTCACAGTTTTGATGTGTTTTCAAACTAATCTGTGTATGACTGTGCCAGTAAAATGAGTTACTGTAGCTCTTTTTCTGTGGTTTTTGCAATTGTTTGTTGCTATTTATATCATGCACTTGAGTCATACGGCTGATTTGACAAACAGTTAAACCTCATTTACTTCTATGTCACTATAAACCTACGTTTGCTTCCTCTGAAAATTTACTTTCTAGTATGTGAGAGTAAAAGTTTGTTTTGAACATATTGATATTGAGGTGATATAGACTCGAGTCTAGAGCCTTGCCGAATAGTTTGATTGATCAAGAAATCAAGTAAGAAAACTAAAACATACCGAGCATTTTTCTTGTAATATCATTGTAATTGCAGCAGCGTCTGCGAATATTGTGCGTTAAAAATGTACTATATCGCAGCAATTGTGTGTGATGCAGCTACGACACATATAATTTTAACCTACCATAAACAATTCCTGGAATAGTAACAGATGTCTCAGCAATGTTGGTTGACACAACAACTTTACGCTGAGTTCTGGCTGTGTGTTGGAAAACTTTCAACTGGTCTGCGTTTGGTAGAGATCCGTACATAGGGAGAATCAGCAGTTCTACTGAAAAATATACTCAATTATATCATAGAATGAAAATTAATTTAACACCAGGATAGTTACAAAAACATTGTGCATTATATTATCTGTTTATAAATAAAACTTTAAATTATTTACCTACAACCGTTTTTTTTAAGTAGCCGTTTCAGTTCAGTTCTTAGAATTGAAAAGTTTCTCATAACGACATTGTTTACTTTTATAACAGCATTGTTTTACTCATAACAACACGGGTAACGGACCAATGAGATTCAAGGATTGAGAGAGAAGACGTAAAAATGTAATGATTCGAACTTCAACTAATCAGCTGTTCAGGCCAATTTAATTGTTGAGTGGTGCAATTAGTGTTTGCTACAATGTTTTGTTTCATCACTGTCAGTGGCAATGAGAGGTTAAAAACAAAAACATAACCTCTCTTAGAAGCTATGAGTACCAGAGATTTTTAGTAACAAAAACACTGTCGTAGGTAAAGTAATGTACACAACTCAAGTAAATAACACACAACAAGCGACACAAGTCAACTCAAGTAAATAACTCGTAGAAGTTTTTAAGGCACTTGCCAAGGCTTGTACCTTAAATTTTCTACTCGTGTCAACAACACTATCTTTATGCAATCATTGTGTAAACTACTAACATAAAATATAAATTGAAATATTTTTTACTCTGAGTACATTGGGCCGAAACATGATGTTACAGTTATAGATTGTCCACATATAACTATTCTTATATATAAATTATTTCAAGTGACTGCACAACATTTCAGAGCATAATATACAGTATTAATATTATTGAAAACAGTAATCCCCTAACCGTAAGTAAGTAATAAATGTGGTGTGTAGCTAGCCCAGTTGTTAGCATCTCGGACTTCAGTACTACAGTACAGTACTGGGTTGGTTCCCAGGCAGCAGATCCCAGGTATATCCAAGGAAATTATAGGCGTTTTGGCCTCTTTTACCTTAAAAGTGTTTCTGATTCCTTCATACAAAATGACGTAGACACTAAAAAGGGAGGAAGAGGTAATCCTGGGCCAAACAAAATACTCTGAAGAGTTAATACATTACTCACAGTCTCTGCGTGGGCTGGAGGCTGCATGTTCTCTCAGCAGAGCCACTGCACGGTCAACCTCCTCTTGTCCTGTCAGGAAACACAGCACATCCCCTCCAGCCTCTGACACATGGATCTTCACCACAGTGTCCACAGCGGCTCTCACATAGTCCGGTACTGGCTCTGAACACAGTACTCAACACACTCAGTCATACTCAGCAAGTACAGTCTAGGAGAGAGGCCTGTGGCACCTATGTTACAGAACCAGCTGAACACATCAAACTGGTAACCCCCAATGTACTTTGTGAAGCTAAAAATTAAGGGAAAAAACAGAAACTTACATACAGGGGTTGGTTTCTAATGGATTGTTTTTTGCAGTAAAGTGTAATCATATGACAAGGCTACGATGATAGTGTATAGACCTATTTAGAACAAATTACTAAATTGAACTGGATACTAAATTTTATTTTTTGCTAGAGACAAATCCAGTTTATTGACAGTCCGGATTTTTGACCTCCAAATTATTGATGTTCTACTGTACTTGGAGGAATCACGACTAGTGTGAATGGATGTTCATCTTCTCATCATTCAGAGAATATCAGCATTTGTAGTGTTTTATAAATATTCTCTATCCCTGTACCGAACAGACTGCTCAGAAAGTGATGAATATGTGGACATCTATGCACGGAAATTAGCAAATACCAACACAAGTAGACCGTCACTCGTCAAATGCTCGGCACATGACATAGCCGCATGTGTGGACCCCCTTAAATTGTTTGATCATGTGATGGCATGGATCTTTGTTCGATTTGGTAGAATAGTTCTAACAAATGAGTTTGATGCACACAACAAACCCTGCATTAGCCTCTTGACAACATGCTGAGTGGAAACTGGATCTACCTTTCAAATAGTGGATTTGCACTGGATACAGACGACCTTCCACACTCATTATGACAGCTGTTTTCTTGTTTTTGTCCGAACTATGGTTGAAGAAGCTGCACAAATGCTCTGCATCCATTGTTGCTGAGGTGACAATGACTCTCAACTTCTTTTGTTTCTAAATAAACAGTAACATATCACAGAATGCAACCACAACAAACACAAATCTTGATTGAACATGTCAAGCAAGAAACTAGACAGCTGGTAATCCACAGATTGTGCTAAGCAACGAGTTTGGAAACATAAGTGGTAACCTCCTTTGGCTATGCTTAGAGATGTGTACTGTCGTAATCTTCTACTAACCTTTTAATCACTAAAAAAATGTTATTAATCTATTATAAATTATTTTTTACATGTACAATAAAAATTTAAATGTCAGATTAGTCAACAGACCAGGGTATGTATCTCATAGGCGAAGATGACCTTATATAGATGATTAAATATATAAGATTGTAGCTTTATTATAGCGTGTCACCATCCCATAATTAATTGTACTGTAATCTTTAGTTGGTTTTGCTTTTTTTGTATTTTAGTTATGTTGTAACAGTTGTCTTAGTTCTTTTTTCAGCCTTTTAGGCTTATCTAATGGTAAATCACGTGATTTCAAGGCAAGTGTTAAACAAAGATACGTGTTGAAGTTACTTGATCCCGTACTGGAATGGGGAGGGGGCGCATACATTGTCATCTAGGTATTATTTGCGCTTCACTTATCGTACTGTCTATCACTGTATATCATTGCTCAAGATCAATATATACAGTATACACACATATTGTATCTGATAGGCTAGTTGAATAAACATCAAACTCATGTTTTTCATCATCAATATCTTCCCATTCTCATTAGGGCCTACTCTCCCTTTTTAGAGTAATGGTGGCAGCAATACCTCAATACACCCTTGAACTTTACTTGCGACCAGTACAATTTTATGTAATAAGACCAGCTGATTCATTAGTCAAGGCCATTTATTGAAAGTCTGATTGTGTGTACATCATTGCACTTTAACAATTAATAAATTTATGGTGTTGAGCAGATAATCACGAACTTAAAACGTATGCCCAAGTGCGGTCTGAGGCTAGCACCACTTTTATACTAAAACTCTTTAATTTAAGCTGAGGCTTTCTCTCTTTTAAATATAGCACATTATTCATGTATTTATCACAAGCAAGTACCTCACCTTTTTCAACATGTATCAGTAATCCAAAGGGTATAACACATTGATTAATCAAGCAAGCACAGCACATCACTTAATTAAATAACATTCCATAGGAAACACAATATGCAGGGTACAGGATTTTTTTTAACAGAGGGCCAGGCTTACGCTTGACCATGGGATTGCATCGCAGCTGGAACAGCTTATTGTGCACCCTCATTCACAGGTCCTCATTCCCCGTCAAATCCCAAGTCCTTAGTGAACCATAAGAACCTTTTGACTATGGTAACCTGTTCTTCCCTTTGATCTCCCATTAATAGGTCAGGGGATCTCATACGCAGACCTTGTAGGGCTGGGTACATACAGGGTACAGGATGATGAGATTACCTTGGTTTACCACATTACATTTACCATCCACATTAGGCAAAGATTGTAAACGTTTAAAAAGTAAAACTTTTTTACGATTGGCAGTTCAATTGTTTGCAGGTAACAATATTTTGTATGTTGTGTTTAATTTCTATAGCCAACAAAAATAGCACACTCAAACTTATAATACTTACCCTTAAAATTTTCTTCAGAAGACCCATGAGGATGTCTGTTGACGTAGTTCTCTCATGAACTTCATCTAACATTATGACAGAATATTGCCTCAACAAGGGGTCTGCCATCATCTCACGCAACAGAATCCCTTCTGTCATATACTGCAAAATAATTAAGTCCCTTAGGCCCTTAGATATGTATCAGTAATATGAAGATGAAACAGAGTAAACCAGAGACAATTAACTGTAAATGGGACTATCAACACAGAATAGCTATTTGTGTATTATGAGCGCAAAGTACGTCATTGCCGCTCAAGAACTGCCGCTAAGCTAAAACTTTGTGCAGCCATACATTTTGAGAGCGGCAATGACTGTTTGTAATACACAAGATGTTTCCTACCACCATAATTAATAGGCTATCATAACAGACAGATTAACTTTTTTATTGTATATAAAGTCATTTGGTTATGTTTGCTTTTTAGGTTATGTTATATGGTTAACAAATGTTAGTGTTTTATAGAAATGCTAACGACGTAATCAGCTGATTCAGTGTTTAGCGAGCAGAAATTATCTATTTTGCATATCCTTTACAGGTGTGGCTATGTGATCATTTCTATGGTCATGATGGTTGGCCACTGGATCGTTAAAATTAGCACTAATAAGTTTTAAATTACCTGGCTACTGTCTCCGATCCTCGGTATAGTTTTAAGAAACTACAGCTGTTTCATGCCTTACATTGGCACATCATCAGGTTTGGTGAACGCCAGCTTTTCTATAAAATATCCCTCGGAGATGAGATCGTTATGGTTTTACAAAAAACATGTAGACATTTACACACACGAAAACACGCACGAAACATTTAAACACTAATAATTGAGAAACTACTGCGAAACGTGATGCGGCGCCGGTGACGAATTAGTGCTGAATTCGGTATAGTTCTAAATGATACTTTACGAAAAGAACTGGCAAAAAATGATATAGCAATATCGTTCAAGACTACAAACAAGCTGTCGTCATTGGTCAGAGCCAAGAGCAAGTCCCACACAGATAACGACAACAAAACCGGAATCTATAGATTAAAATGTGACAACTGTCCCAGCTTTTACATAGGACAAACTGCCAGATCTTTCACAACCCGATTTAAAGAACACCTACCAAAAAAGAACTCTAAATCAGCTTTTTCCAACCACCTAACAGCCACGAACCATAACTATACAGACATTCATAATAATCTAGATATTTTACATTTTTGCAATAAAGGACGCCATATGGACACAATAGAAGAATATGAAATATATAAGGCATCAAAAGAACAACCACATCATATTTTGAACGAAAAGCAGTCCTTTGAGTCTAACATAATTTACAACACGGCCATTCTGATATCTGATTGTCAAACCAAAGAAAGAGAAGATAAGGATAGAACAAGGGTAGGGGTCAACGCTGCCGACACGTGACAGTCGCGACTTATCCGTCACCGGCGCCGCATCACGTTTCGCAGTAGTTTCTCAATTATTAGTGTTTAAATGTTTCGTGCGTGTTTTCGTGTGTGTACAAATGTCTACATGTTTTTCGTAAAACCATAACGATCTCATCTCCGAGGGATATTTTATAGAAAAAGCTGGCGTTCACCAAACCTGATGATGTGCCAATGTAAGGCATGAAACAGCTGTAGTTTCTTAAAACTATACCGAGGATCGGAGACAGTAGCCAGGTAATTTAAACCTTATTAGTGCATTTCTATGGAGTGGTGGGAAAACAGATATATGAAACTATTCATGAAATTTTAAATAATAACCATAAAATAAATACTATACTCATTGACAAGAACAAATTGAAGATTTTTAGACCTCCTTAAATTAGAATATTTTTTTTCTGTTTCACTTAAAGTCTTTATTTTTTAGTTTGGTTTCATAATCATGTTTTATCAAGTGTTTTATGTAAAGAGTTAATTCTGACAATGCTCTTTATTCAACGATTGCTATTACATGTATATCAATAAATGTATGTGTATCACAGGGTTGCCACCCGTCCCGATTCTGCCGGGATAGTCCCGATTTTGGTTCCTTATGCCTGTATTTAAGTATATGTTAATTTATTCATCATTGCCTCCAGGATTGATTATTGACAATATAAATAGGTTACATACCTTACGTCGTCAATCCTAAAATAAGTCTATGGCGACTAGTTTCGAAACATCAAGGTTTCATTGTCGAGCCTCTTGCCTCTTAAAAACATTGTGACATCTTGTCGTCGTCATTATACACAGTACATTTAACATAAACACACGAACACGGACACATACTATTTACAAAAATGAATGCGCGGCCGGCCATAAGTACCGCGGTGACGGACACGATACCACCCCACCACTGGGCTGGGGTATCGTGTCCGTCACCGCGGTACTTATGGCCGGCCGCGCATTCATTTTTGTAAATAGTATGTGTCCGTGTTCGTGTGTTTATGTTAAATGTACTGTGTATAATGACGACGACAAGATGTCACAATGTTTTTAAGAGGCAAGAGGCTCGACAATGAAACCTTGATGTTTCGAAACTAGTCGCCATAGACTTATTTTAGGATTGACGACGTAAGGTATGTAACCTATTTATATTGTCTATGTTAATTCGAGAGGGAGGGGGACAATGTCCCGATTTTTTCCTGACGTAAGGTGGCAACTCTGGTGTATCATGTCTATGTCGATGTCAGAAACTCACCTTGATCTTAGTCACTCCTGGTTGGCTACAGTCATCAAAGCGTATGCAGTAGCCGACAGTCTGTCCGAGCACTGTGCCTGTCTCGTCTGCCACTCGGGTAGCAAGAGTTGTAGCTGCCACTCGTCTCGGCTCTGTAACCCCTACCATCCTCCCATCTCCACACCATCCCGCCTCCACCAGGTACTAAATAATATTAAATGAGTAAAAAATTAGTATCATACTTTGTTTAAACAATATTGTTGATAGATTGGTAGATGTGATAGGCCTAGGTTGATGAATCAGTCTCTATAAGAGGGCTGCATCAAAATAAGCTTACATGAATAGATGGCGAATTTAATTAGGTAGGTAAAACTTTTAGGTTAAATTGCCTATTTATGATTTATTTTCATAAAGATTTTTTTAAACACTGTAAACTTTTAAATTAAACAAAAACCACAATTGAGATTTTTTAGTGAGGATAGCAGGCGTCCTGAATGAAGAAGTCTTAAGCATAAAACTTTACACTATAATCACAAAGCATTATAATATTGCACAGTTAATGACAGTGTTTTCAACTAAGGAAGAGAGAATTTTCTCGTCTAATGGTGGCTACATTTACAATGCTATGTGTTATAATATTTATGAAGTGTTGAGTTTTTTGTGAATGAACGCTTTTATGCACAACACAGAAGCTTATTTCCCACGGGAGTTTGTAAAAGATTATCCAAACTAGCTTAAAAACCCAAACATAGTGAAGAGTTGAAGTTTAACAGACATAAAGTCTAGATCAAAACCATTAGTTCAGTACACAAACCTGAGGAATCTGAGTGCTTTTGCCACATCCTGTTTCTCCAACTAAAACTAAAGTTTGGTATTCCTCAAGCAAATATAGCAAGTGGTTTCTATTGCGATTTATTGGAAGTTTTTGACGCTGCTGTTCTAATGCTAGGGAAATGTTGGGATTGTATATGAATTTTGTTCCTGACAAAGCTTCTATATCCGACTTGTCTTCTTCCCATCCAGCTGATTCTCCTAAAATAATGAAACCACAATGTCAGCAGTTATAGGCAACATATCTAAAACTATCTCTTAAACAAATAGGTCAGGTTTCAGAATACAATTGTGTCATTATGAATTTGCCTCAGGGAACATGTTTTAATGAGTATATACACTATTTTAGTAACTCAAGACCAAAGAATTTTAAGAGGTTTCAAAGCTTAACCTTTAACTGTAGACTAAGGAGTATGTTTTATCTATGGCTTAACTTATTCATACCGTACCAAACACTTTGATGCCTCCAGCACCTTCAAAGGAAGGATGGGAGGAAAGTAATTTAAGTTGAAACTTAAAACGAAAGGGTAAACCAGTTTAAGTTGATGACAGCACAGACATTTTAAATGAGCGTAACCAACTTAAGCTTGTAGGCTGATTTTACAATTTTATCATTACAGATTAATATACCTACAAAGGTACAAAGTTTTTAAGGCCTTTTAGGCAGAGCCCTGGCTGGATTTACGCAATAATAGACTATTATTATCTTAACGTTCCCCAAACCTTTTGGTCTGGCAACCCACTTAAGTTACATCTTGGATTTTTTGCGACCCACCAATCAAAATATAGGCCTTGGCCCTATTATTTATTTATTTTTACAATTTCATTGTTACTCCTCATTCAATGGTTTTTATTCCTCATTATAGTTCTTTCATTGTCCAAGTTTTCACATGTAGGCCTTACTGAAGCAACGAAGCAGGCCCTACCCTGTTGCCCCAACGAAGCAATAACCAAATCTGACCAGCTGTTTGAAGTGGCAAGAAATTGGTTTTCACTTAATGGCCTCAGGTTAAACGAAGAAAAAACGCAAAAGCTCCTGTGCACACTCAGTAAATCATCTCCATCTCAAGATATTCCAGTCAAACGCCTCGGTTTTATCCTGGACCCAAAACTTCAATGGGACTGTCATATTGATACAGTGTGTCTTAGGCTGAGTAGAGTCAATTTCCTCTTAAGAAAACTTAAGCACCAGATCACTAAACAATATCTTCTGATGTCTATTTCTCCTTATTTCACAGTCACATCAACTATGGTATCATACTCTGGAGCCACGCACCCGCCTGTACTAAGATTCTCAAACTGCAAAAACAAGCCCTAAGAATAATTACCTACAAGCAGCGAAAGACGGGAACATTACAGACCACTTTTCAAAATGCTGAATGTTTTTACTGTTTTCAATCAGTTCACCTACAATTGCCTTCTGCACTTCAAAAGAAATTTAAACTCTCGTGAAACAAGGGGTGACATGCACGACCATAATGTCTGAGGTGCCCGTAAATTAAATACAGATCGCTATCTTAGACAAACTATGACAAGAGAGTTTCCCTGCCATAGCTGTCAGGATGTATAATGCTCTGTCTGGTAAAATAACAGAACTTGACACAAAAGTGTTCACAAATAAAATTTAACAATTTTTATTGGAGAAACCCTTTCTACTCAACTACTGAGTTCTTCAAGTATGCTGGCGCGATGAACTCGCTGTCCACCGCCACCACACAGTTTTAAATGTATATATATATCTAAAATAGTTTTTATTTTATTTTTTTCCGCCATCTATCCAGCCTAGGCTGGTCATCGATGAAGAGGAGGTAATTCAGGTACCGGTAATACTGTATTCTTATTATTGTTACTTTTGATATTCCTCTCATGGGTACAGTTTCTTAACTGGGCTACGCTAATATCGATTGAAACAATCGATTCGATTAGTAAACGTGCATGCGATTTTTTCACCATCAGCAAGTTTGGTTGGTTAGGTTAGGTTATGATAGTTTAATTTTGAAATAGATATATTTTAAAATATTGATTATTAATCAATATTTTCAATTCAATAGTTTCAATTGATATTAGCGTAGCCCAGTTAAGAAACTGTACCCCCTCTCATTATTATTATTATATATATGCTATCTAGTCATAATGAGCAATTTACAACTTGTAATCAAACTGAAAACTGGTGTAATTCTGTTGGCAAATAAATAAAAAAGCTACCGGTAGGCTACCTACTTACCCGGCTTTAAGAATACTGGTCTGCTGACTTTCATATTTTAGAGATAAAATAAACGTGTTATCTTACTAAATAAACACAATTACGGCAAATAATTTACATTACATAGCTTTATGAACATTCATCGGTCCTTTCACAATTAAAAAAATTCATGTTGATAAAGATAGCTAACCTATCACAGACAGTTTAGTTAACCAATCTAATTTTGATTCGGTCAATCTATTGAGCAAAAACTAATTGAAAACAAGACAAATTAAAGATTTTTCAGCAGCAGTTAAATAAAAAAGAACCCAACAAACTTCTAATTTCACTTAAGTTATTACTTATTTGTTGTTGTTATGATGAATTTATTTGACGCATTGTATGATACGCATGGGATTATACGACGGACGACAACGTCGACAACTCTCTATAAAGCCTCGTTCTCGTTCACACGGTGCGAGTTTACAAGCTACTCGCCAGCGTGTAAGAAGCCGGCGAGTTGGCGAGTGTGCTTGCTTAGGGCCCTTTCACACGAGGCCACTGGTGGCGGACACCGGTGTCCGCCACCAGTTACCGGCCGGGAAACTGCAGTGGATGGTACAGGCAACTTACAAGCCACTCTACTACAGCCACTGTACTGGTAGAAATGCTGTACATGCTGTCGAACAATGAACATCTCCTTCTTCTCGCGTTGATAATAAAGAAAATAAGGCAAAGACACAGGCGTACTATACCGAATAGCCGGTTACTTTTCAATTTCGCAAATTAGATCATCAGTATCCACTTTGTTTTCTATTATTTTGTTTATTCTCTTCTTCTGTTGTTTTCCTTTGTCTTTTTCTTTTTCAGCAACGTCCTCTTTATTTTTCTTCTGATCACTCATTTTCACAAACAAACAATTCAACACGAAAACACTCAACAACTACAACCATAGTGCGTTTGTCTTTGCAGTATGCACGTGAACTGATTCAAAATAGCTGCGTGCTCATCCACTGGTGGCGGCCACTGGTTGCTTCGTGTGAAAGCTCCCATTTAATTCAATGCCCCGCGACGAGTTGCCGCCACTGCAGTTGCCGGCGGTGGCCGACTAGCAGTTGCGCGAGAAGACACTGCTCGGCCACTGTGTAGTGGCGGGCAACTACAGTGGCTGTGTGTGAAAGGTCCCATTTAAAATAATGTTAAAGCTGTGGCGGGCAACCAGTGGCGGCCACCGGTGGCGGCCACCAGTGGCCTCGTGTGAAAGGGCCCTTATAGCTCAGTGGCTTGTATTCGTTCACACGGAGCAATTGTCTGTGCACGGAGCTTGTCCACTCGCCTACTCGCAGACGTGTAGAAAGACGCCGGCGAGTCGGCGAGTGCGCTTGTAGTCGTTCACACGATGCTTTTCCCCCCCGGCTTTTTCCACTCGCTCACAGTGTTTCCATTCGCGGGATTATTATCCCGAAAACGGGATTTTTAGACCTTGAGCGGGATTAAAACGGGATGCGGGATAAAACGGGATTTTCGGCTGTGACGATTATTTATATTTTTTTCTACTCAATTTTAGAGAAAAACTAACTCAAATTGTTTACATACTGTAGCAAAATATAATAGTGATGTTTAAACAACTTATAAAAGATTTAGTTGGGAGTATGTTTTATCTATGGTTGTACAAAGATTTTTAAAACCGAATTATATATAGAATAGATAGCGCATGTTATGCACGATACGATGAAACTTAGGCATTGTGGGATTATGCACTATGATATATTTGACAGTCTCGCAGTGTATAATCTTAGATGAAGTAATATAAATAATATGGTAGTAATAATATGGCGTTTATTTATTCTATTGTATAATCATCTTTGACTCCTCGTATCTGAGCTGACTGTACTTTATATAGTATGTCAACATATTCAATTTGAGGAATTCAGGGAATGGGTTAGGGTGAATCATTGGGAATGGAATGATGTTATGTCACTTTTGCCTTTTGTCACTTTTTAGAGGTTAGGTAAAGAAAGGCAAATGAAAATCATACAATAGAAGGATTTCCTATTATTTATTTCTACTTTTATTAAATTATTAAGGAATAGCATATGCAAATCATTTCCAGCGTAAGTAATTATTCTCAAGTTTTATAGTCCTATGTTGTACTGCTCTGAACTTAGTGATGGGATAACCGAATGGTTTCCATGACCGAATAATCAATCAGTTATTTTTTGCGTCAATCGGTTATTTTTAGTTGAATGAATCACCGAATCAATTTTAGTCATTATTCAGTATCACAAACCACAACTAATTTTTATCCTATGGGAAACTGAATGGCATTTAGTCTTTCAGCGTCAATCGGTGATTTTTAGTCGAACGAATCGCCAAATAAATTTTAGTTACCTGATTATGTGACAAACTAAATCAACTAAATAACTAAATCACCGAATCGCACGGTAAGACTAATTTAACCGAACCAGGATAAAATAACCGAATTAGTCTATTCAGCATCAATAGCCGATTGATTCGGTTATTTTCATTCGGTGATTCCCACCACTATCTGAACTTAGTCTAGGCCTAGTGGCGTGAGTAGAGTAGGCGACCTATAATAGGCCTGCGTTTTGCAACCAAGTCCGGCTGCACTTTACTTGACGTCCTACACTCATTCGATTGGTTTTTTCGATTCGATATTTTCATTCGATTCTTTCATTCGATATATCGTTTGGTTAGTTAGGTTAGGTTAACCTTACCTAACTAACCAAACGATATATCGAATGAAGCAATCGATTAATCGATATATCGATCGATATTTTCATTCGAATGAGTGTAGGACGTCAAGTAAAGTGCAGCCCCAAGTCCTTGTTTATTTATTAGGCTAAATAATCCCCATTTACAGATGAAAAATGTATTATCCTATAAAAAAAATGGGTACAGTTAACCAAAAGATTATCCATAGCCTACAAAAACAAAATGAGCTAAACAAGTTTTCAGATTTGGCTTATAACAGCATTTCTTCGATGCAAGTGTTTGACATAGGCGTAGGCTTAAACGTTTCATCAACTTTCTAGAAGGTTACATTTTTTAAAGGGAGAGGAGGGAAAATGCTTTTACGGACACTGGTAGCCACTGTACGGCCTGTAGTGTGAGACTCAAAGAATCTATCTCCTGAATCCTGAGTCTCCTGAATCTATCACAGACTACTTACTAAAAAGCCCCCTCTACTCTGTTGGACACAGACCTGGAATTGTTTCTCACATTACTTCAAGTCAGGCCATCATGTGACCTAAGCCCTCAGGGCTCTCACCGTTTTTGGCATTTAGATACTTTATGACCTACACCGCATCCCGGTCAAGGTCGAGCTTCTTGGCGCAGAGAATCTAGATGTAATGTGACACACAGGTCCAATTGTCCTCACCCTCCGTCATCATCGGTATGACCGGGTCCACTGACAGCAGTCCTACTAACTGTTGAGCCTCCAGGCGGGGCCTTTCCCAACGCTGGCAGTGGAAAAGGTATGTTCCACGTCATCTGAATGCCTGGGCAGTATCTGCAATCGGGTGACACGGCTTTGCCCATCCTGAACAGGTACGACCGGAAAAAGCCGTGACCCGTCAGAAATTGGGTGAGGTAGAAGTCCACCTCTCTGCACCGCCGATTAACCCGATTAACAGAAGGTTATGAAAACTCTGTGAACTGCAAAATAGAAGGTCAAAATATGGGTAACTTATAAGAATCCAATAAGTTAGTATGATCGACTATTAGTCCCGAAAGTAAGTAATTTTGGGGCACAACATCAAGCCCCCAAATAGAACTTTTGTGATGAGGAAGGCCGCTTTTAAATATGCAAGAGGTTCTAGGTTTTGTTAGGGCGCAAGGGAGAGTAGGCCTAACCTTAACTAACTAGGTTAAGGGGTGCACATTTATCTCTCGGGCCCTTAGCACATCAGATGCGAACCTTGGCTCTGGTGATGAGTAATAAACAACACGTTTCATCAAATTACGTTAATCTTCTTGGTTTTAATTAACAAAATATTATTCCATTGTCTCTTTCAAGTTTTTTCAGCGAACGATTTCCAACCTGAAGGTGAGTGAGCGTAGCGAACGAACTTCAACCAGGAAGTGATTGAGCCATGCGAATACTTATGAAGTTAAGCGGGGCAAAGCCCGCGGGTACAGCTAGTACTGAAATAAATGTGTTGATAGAGATGTTTCTGTTGGCAGATGTGACATGGATGATCAACACCAACAGCTGTTGCAGCAGCTGAAGACGACGGTGGAAGGACTGCTGATCAGTCAGGTGTCTAATGTGTGGCACGTTTATGGCGGACTCAACCGCCTGCACAACATCATGTGCAAGATCTTTAGACATGGCTGCAAAACTCTCAGCCAACAGGTCAGTGTGGTTATGGCAGAGTAGCTGAGTGGTTAGGTCTATATACTCCGTTCAAAAAATTTAGGCGGCTTTAGGCGAAGAAATCTCCTCCATGTCTTGATCCTGCCATTAAAACATAGACATAGCTCAACAGCTGAGATGTGGCAAAGGGGTAGCGGATTTTTATCCCCCTGGGCAAACGTGACGTCACAAACCAGGGGTTAAAATTCCGGCAGCAAACTTTTGAGTTTCGCGACATCAGCTCAATGGATTAAACGCGGAATTAAACATATATTTTAACGGTTATGAATTTAATCAGAACACATCAAAGTATAAAACCTAGAGTGTACGGCCCGGATTTTTACCCCCGGAATTTTACCCCCCGGTGTTTTATCCCCGGATTTTCCCCCCGGATTTTTATCCCCGGAATTCAACGCTCTGGCCAGATATATAAATTAGTGAGAATGATTAATTATCTTCATTCTGTTTTGATTTAATAGTAAACATTTTATTAGGCTATTAAGTAGACAATATTAATTTAATTGTAACATTAACTAATCAAACAGGTTTTTTATTTTAAATTTGAGATTCTAGTATTAGGATTCGATCTTTGAAGCCAACATTTGGTTAATATGACGTATAAACAATCAACTGAATGATAATTGTTTCGAACATCTCTTTACAAAATAAATAAATAAAGATAGGCTACTAAATAATTAAATGTTTACAATCAATTAAAAACAGAAATAAGAAAAGCAATCATTCAATTTCTAAAATCGACCAGGGGGTAAAATTCCGGGGGGTAAAAATCCGGGGGTAAAAATCCGGCCCGTACATCTTCAGTTGTCTAAACGCTAGTTATATGGACAGGGGGTAAAATTCCGGTTTTTATCGCCACCTAATCTAATTAATCACGCTCTGGCTATATTCATTAGACTTCCAAATCCGCGGGGGTAAAATTCCGGTCGCGAACAAACTTTTGGCCACTCAGGTTACTACGTCATAGTGACGTCAGCTTTGCCCAGGGGGTAAAATTCCAGGGGGATAAAATTCCGGCGACCAGTGGCAAAACCTCAATTAGCTGCATCATACATTAAGCAGAAAAAATGTTGGGGGGACTTCCCATCAAACCGCCTAAATATTGTGAACAGAGTATAGAGCTCGACTAGTGCAAAATAAATAGGCATGGGCACCCACAAGGGGGTGCAAGTACTTGTACCCCCCTGGCTAGAAAAAAAGAAATACATTTAATACCCATAATGCTTTGTAATCACTTTTATTAATCCAGAGTGGGTTTTAAGACATTTATAAAATTACGTTCATAATGGTAATTTCACAAAAAATATTTTAAATTGACATTTAAATCAAAAAAGTAGTTGACTCACAGATTAACCATACTTTTATACTTTACTAGCTGTAGCCTAACCCGTGGGCTTTGCCCCGTTTAACTTCTTAATTTTCAAGATGATCTCGTTCGCATGGCTCAATCACGTCCTGGTTGAAGTTCTCTGTGTTACCAAATAGTGTAAAAGTACGTTTTAAAACACTAGCCTATATTTTCAGAAATTTTCCTCAGATCCCCCAGATGTTGATTAGACCTATATATTGCACCCCCCTGTTCCAATCCTGCGGGCGCCCATGTAAATAGGTAATCCTAATTTCGTCTTAGACAACTAGTTTTGAAACATAAATTTAATTTTCAAGCCTCATTTTAAATTATTAGAATACATTGTTGTCGTCAATACTCAAATATTAAACATTTAGCTCATAAGGAACACATTAACATTATAAATAGCTAATCTCAATTATCCTAAACCAACCACCTCAAAGTCAAATAACTCTAAAAAGTACGGTAATGAAATTTACAATTATTCTTAGGCATTGAAAACTTTTAGACAAGGCCCTACTCATTTATAATTAAATAAATATTATGTAATGAGTACCGTACCGGTATATTTAAGTAAAAACACCGTTTCTGAAACATAAAAAAAAACGAAGCCCAAAAGCGTCTAGCAATATGGGCTGGGGGGGGGGGCTGGAGCCCCCCTATGAGACCCACGTTAACCACATTAACCAGATGGTGGGACCAAAGTGGAACAGGACCAATCGAGACGGGAAGAAGAAAGGAAGAGGGAAGAAATAGAGATAAATCGAGGCATTCGATTGGGTTGATTGATTGATTCTGTTGGGGTCCTGTTGCACGTTAGCCACTAATTGGCTTTTTGTGCTCCCCGATTGTTGCGTCAGAGTCCGTCAAACCAGAGTTGCTTAATGAACTTCAGCATCCTATCTATTAGCTCCTCCTGAGGAAGGTGTCTGCCCCTTGTCATTCATTGTTCCAAGAGTGCTACTCCTTACCTCGTTCAGAGCTGTACAGTCATAGAGTAGGTGATCTGCAGTCTCCTCGGACTGCCCACATTTCTTACTTGCAGTGTCTCCATTGTGAATCCTCAAGCGATTCAGGTGCAGTTTTAGGAAGCCATGGCCTGTGACCATTCCTGTGATCTGTCTAAGTTGCCTCCTGTCTAATCGTAGAGCATTAGAGGCGACTGATTGTGTTGGGTTAGGTTAAGTAGGCCTACCATTTGGATTTGGGGTACAATACCGGCAGCAGTAAATATGTTTAAACTTTGAAATCAGTTGAGTCCACAAAATAAAATTATTACAGGATAATTTTTACTTAGTACTATAGCTGAGCCAAATTTGAAATTTGTATTTTCATGCCCAACATTAAGCAATATTAAGCATCAAACTTTTAAAATTTTGAAAATTTTAAGATTTTGAAAATTTTTATTTTAAACCCTATACAAGTCCACAACTTGAAACTTTGAGAATTTGGAGTACACTATCAGATAAAAAAATAACAAACATATAGTCAATTGCCTTTATGTAAAAAGAAATTGTTAAAAATTAGTTTTTGTTAACATAGTTGTGTTCAACTTCAAACAGGTAATTAGACCTATTGAGTGCATAACTATATTACCATAGGAAAGTTTAGATCTTTCTGAAGAGATTGGTTTCTATTTTAATGTTCTAGGATTAGTAGAACCAGAGATATTTAATTTAACGCAGAGCCCTGAGATCGCTGAAAAGGGGCATTCGAGTAACAAAAAATAGCCGCCATACAGTAGAAAAATAAAATTAAAACTAAATAATTGTATTTTTATACTTCTAATCATATGTACTTTCAAGGATAAAAAAATGAAAAAATTAAAAATCTTGAAGCAACCAATTAATTTATTTCTGGACCACTTGATATGGATTGACCCAACTTAACTGTTTAAATAACAACATATTAATAATGATAAATAACTTAGTGAACATAATTCACTGTAATAAAGCAGTTACAGATTGATGGTGGAGCTATATGGAATTTTATAATTTAAAACCTTACTGACAAAAAGTAATTATTATCAGTTTATAATTTTTTTTTTTAGATCACTATCTTAGATCATGCAGAGTGCGTGAGTCACAGGTGATTTCAGGGCACAGGTGTGTTTGTATACAAAAGTGCGCTGAACTAGTTTTCATTGCGCAACAGTCAAGGTCATGTGTTTAATGTTATCAATACTGGTGTACAAGTTTGTTGTAGCTAGGTTCCAAAGTTCTTACCAGCTCCGAGTTCATTTATCTATTGACGCACTTGTTATCTTTCTAATAAATATTTTTTTGTGACATCATTCATCATGGACGATACAGTGAATCATCGGTTTTTCACGGTAGGTTCGGTAAAAATACTGGAGGAATTTTGTAGAAATTTAAAGCTTTCACCAAAAACGTCCAATTATTTTAACAGTGACTCATGAGAGCTATTTTAATATATGACCAATGTGAGGAGGTTCCCGTCCGTGTGGAATAAAACAATAGACTCCTAATTGAATAATTACTGGAAGTTATTTTTATCATAGAAAAATATCTATGTGTTAAGAGGCAGTTAATTTGTTACGTTTTACAAAGTTTCAAGTCAAATATTTTTTTCATAAACGCTGTGATTATTTAATGAATTAAACATATTTAGTGACACTTAAGTTTTGTTTCAAAACATTACTTATGTAATGTCTGAAGGTTAGGACATACATTTTCTAAATAGCATATCTTCCTTCGTCACAAATTTAAGTTAAAATAATAATAGTCACACTTTTTATAACATTTGAATTTTTTATTTAATTGTTTTTGACAATATAATAGGTTTACATACCTTTATTTTATCTATCCTGATTGACTAGTTTTGAAGCAACAGTTTCATTGTCAAGCCTCTTGCTTCATAAAATAATTGGAACATATTGTTGTTGTCAATAGACAAAAAATACAACCTTTAACATACACGAACTTGGATACAATTTATTAACATAAACGAATGCATGTCTGGCCACAAAACACACGGTTACAGACGAAGCATTGTACATTTTTTATTGCCCCGAAATCACTCACATAAGGGCAAATAGTGAATTATTGATCTGTTTTAACTGTGATGTAAGATACCACAAAGATAATAACACACATAATATATGAGTAACAAAGATGGTAAGCCTAAGTGAAAGTATGCTACCAGAAAAAGTTTTATACATAATAATTTATGTATTCCATTGTCCCATAAAATTTGTCATTTACATTATCATGTCCAATGACTCAGTCAGTGATAGTCGATATCTAATCTGGCAACAGTGATAGTGCATCTGTCATTTCTTCCCTCTATTATTTTTGTTGCTCCAAAGTTAAACATGGGAACGCCACCTAGGTGCGTATTTTAACCCAAATATGAGTGAAGGATGTGTGTAGAGAATGTGATGATCTGTGTAACGTTGTTACAGACTAATAAGCTGTTTCATTAGCCAGGATCATTTATTTAAAGCCCTCAATGATAAGGAACAGCTTGGTCCAGTTTATAACCTTCAAAAAGCTAGGCTACTGATTTTTCTCACGATTGATCCGGCAAACTTTTGACCCAGCCTGTAACTTCTGTAAACATTCTAGAAATGAAAAATGTCTATCATCATATCTACATAGAGTTTGTTCAAGATGTGAAGATGTTATTGTTACAGGGGGAGCCAGATGTGTGGATATTCATACAAGGATTGAGTTGGCTTCAACCCACCCTCGCTGCCTCCCCTACATTTGTATTGGACACAGCCAAGGGAGTTAAGGATAAGGCGGCCAACTGGCTGTACAAAAGGTGTGGTATGACTCTGAAATCTGTTAAAAGTAGTGTTTGAAATGTGTTGAATGTGTTTGATCTCTGAAATCAAATGCAAAAATACGAGAAATTAACTTCACCAAAAAGTAGTATACTGTATAGAGATTCATGCAATTTTATTTGGAAGGCATCAGTTGGACTTTGCAAGATATACCAAATACATGTAAAATAGATGATTCTGTGAATCATATCAAATTAGGGAAGATATTTAGATTCAATGCAAGTACAATATCCTCCTTTGTTCTAGTTATTTCCCAGCATGGGTATTAATTTACCAAACCCTCCACACCATCAAACTTCTCTTTCCTATCCATCCTCTTTTCTACCATCAACAACTCCATTCTCCTACGAATTCTCTTGTCTTACATTCTTTTTACATGTCCAAACCATCCAAGTCTTTCTTTTCTACTTTTCTGTTAAATCTTTCACCACTTCCCATCCGTTATGTTCATTTCTAACTGGATCAAACCTTGTTTTACACGCAGTAGCCCTGGGAAATTCCCTTTTCTACAGTTTGTATTCTATTTTAGTTTCTGGACATTCAAAACTTCCTCCCGTAAGTCACTATTGGCCTGTAATATACTATACCTGGATGATTTTGCCATTGTTGATACCCATCTATACTATTTTAGCCTACATTTTCAGATTTTGATAGAGCCCTGCTCCCGCCTCATCCTCCCATTACTTGACTACACACCTTATCTACTTAACTGCTCCTCCAACTTATATGGCTCATTACTCTCACAATTCCTTCTGACAACAATTACATCACCCTTCCCTCTACTTTGGTTACTTCCTCCTTTACTCTCAATGACTCCAGTTTTCCACTAACAAGTTCCTCTTTCAATTTCTATTGATCACCAGTATCTCACCCCTGCTGTTGTAGCCTGGAGAGTCACTCGCTGTCACAGAAGCTGTCTTGGTTGTTGTCTGATAAGGAACACCTGGCCAGCTGCTATGAACCCTCGGCCTTCCTGTGTCAGCCCAGGTACAGTGAGGCGACTCTCATCTGTCTCAGGGCTGTGGAGGAGAATCAGCTGTCTCTGCTGACTGACATTGACCCTAGTCTGGTGAGTCAGCCTCGGGCATCATTAATTGAGAGGAGAAAATGGTGTCTGAGTCTAGAATACTTGGAATTGAACCAGTGTCTTGGGCAGGCGAGAATTTTAACTCAATTATTAACCAGACGATTGATTTTGTAACTTTGTACCCATAGTTTTTCTATCAGTTTTCATCCAGTCTCCAGTCCTAGCTTAATAGTGCTGCCTTAGGCAGGGTTCACTTGAGCGACACATCAAGCTGACTGGCATTCCTCACGACTCGGCGACACACAAGTTCCACCGACTCGTGACGTAAATGAATGTGCATCGATAAACAATGTTTTTGATAAGTCGATGTTTTGCTGTCAATATTTTATGTTCCTTGAACGGCTCCATTTGATCCTGTGGTCCGCTACCTAGTCCTGCTTACCTAGTCAGCTAAATAAGTTGCTTGTGTGAACCGTGTCTTAGTTTAAAACTGCTAACTAGCTGACTTGTTAGTGGAATTGAATGTTGTAAGAATAGTTTTGGAACGATATATGGGTGTACAAATTTCACAATTGCATTACCGAGCATTTTTAGTTTCACTTACCATTCCCCCTCCCACTTTACCTTTTTCAATAACATTTAATGACTGAAGGTGTTTATTGCTGGCTTTTACAGCCGAATCCAAATCAAATTTTGTAAGTACAAGTATTTGTCTACTGCACTCATAAAAAATTAATAATAATATAGACTAGGGTTTAAATATTTTTCTTTGGCTCGATAAGGAGGCGTTTTTAAAATATCTACTCTTCTTATCAGAATATCTGCTACATACATAATAAAGAAGGATTGTTCAGAGGTTATCTCCAGTGCAACTCATGGTTCAATTGATATTGTGTTAAGGCGTAGTACTCTGATAATCTGAACTTGCTTGTCACCGCTACAATTAGACCATCAGTACACCAGTACAAAACAATGTAACACTTTCTGTATGGTACTGTCAAAAAATATGGGGATTTGTTTTTTTTGTCCTACAGGTTGGCGTGTGTTAACACTCAAAAAATGTTAAACAACTCCAGTCAACGCACAGATTTCCTGTCCTTATAAACTCTTTTCCGATGATTCATTCAGTAAAAATAATTGTGGATTTCTCTTTAGGGTAGCAACAATTACTGCCCTCAATTATTTAATTACAATTATTTAATTGTTTGAAACCACTGTGCTTGAGCTTTGTTCTCCTCCCTCAAAAATAAAAAAAAACTCACAATTAATTTGTTTGTGAATATTGCTTGAAGCAGTTGCATTTGTAAGAATCTCCCAAAAAAGTTTATTTTGTTCCCTAGATTTAAACCATAATTATTTTTGTACAAATTTATTTAAAGCTACTAAATCATATTTTAATAGGAACAATTCAATTCTTGCATTAAAATAGGTCATGTTATATATTTATACATTTAGACATATACATTTAGAAAATAGTTTAAACATAACAAACCTTATCAGTAAGTTCCGGTCGCTAGTCTTGGGTAACACGATGTCACTGAGCCAAGTCGTGTCTCGTTGTATCTCTGTCTACAAATGTAGTTTACCATCACAGCTGTCAAACAGTGCAAAGTCCACCATGTTGAACCCCCTTGACCGCACTTTGTGATGAGTTTCTGTCATTCCCGAGGCTACTGCCTGATAACTTGTCACTTGAGACCATCGACTGTACATTCACACAGTGGCCTCAGACAGAGATAAGCGTTGGGAAACCTTCATTCAACAAACAGCTGTACAGCTTAGTCAGTGGCCGAGTGCTCCGTTGCACTCAACTGTCTGTGTGTTGCACTCGAGTACAGAATGCTGTTGGAGATATACACCGGTGTTGATATTGCAAGTTTGCTCTTATCTGATAAAGAACTGTCTGATCAAGATGAGGTTGGTTGAAATTTTTTTTTACAATTGGGTCAATATTTTTATTTACAATGAAAACATTTTAGTATTTATATTTTTAGTTTAAAATAAATTATCTTAAATATTGACTGTGGTACATAGTTTACTTCTATAGTTTGCTTCTAAAACATATTTTTACTATCAAGCTGTTTTATTTTTTTTTTTTCTTATTTTAAATTCTCATTGGATACCTATGCACAAACAGGTACTTGATTTTATTTTAATGAATGAACAAGTCTTGTTAATGTAACTGTTTGTTATACTTATTGTTCTTTATGCTTGTTCTCTAAAAATAACAGATAATTTTTCTTTCCTAGTCATGAAAAAAATCTTGTAGCCTTATATTATGACAAGTCTTGTAACTTGTGTTAACATGTTTTGCTATGTTTATAAAATGCACACTTAAGTAAACTGTTACTTTCAGTCCATAATTTTCAGTCTTGTTTTAATATATTTTAGTTTAATTTTAATTAAAAAACCAAAAAAAGTGTATGAATTGGTTGAATAAATAGCATCTTTGTTCAAAAATGACACATTTTTAATGTAAAAATCTTATCATGATTTTACAATCTGATTTTGAAAAATAAACCTCATAAGATTTGTTTGCTCAGACAAAATGTTTACAACAATGTAACCCGAGTCAGTAAATAAATTCATGTACAAATCAATTATTATCCTACCTACATAAAGTATATCAAGTATTTTCCTGCAACTTAAACTGCTGGTACATTACTCTGAAAACAATTTCATTGAGTGATTTCAACTCAAAGACTTGAAAAATGAACGCCTCTATGGAAAAATTGTCTCTTTGAACCTTACTAAGCTCAACCCTAAATCAAGATTTATTGTAACCCATTTAGCAAAGTAAAAAAGTTACGATTTAAGCATTCAAATTTTAATTATAATTACTAGGCCCATTATTGTTATTATCATTTGAGATGGGAACGTTTCCTATGTGCATATCTTCCTCACAGAAAAGTAGACACAGTTTATATAACAGTCTTTGCTCATGTTTTTATTGTTTTAAATTTAAAAGTATACTAACTTGTAGCTTGCGTTTTGCTAATAGTTTGTTTTTGATCTCATTCATGTGTTTTTCAGTTTCTGTCCAAGTGGAAAGCTCACCGCCGATGTTCGTCTTTCCCCGATGCGATGCAGAGAGCGGCAAAACTCAAACACAAACTCGTCCCCCCTGACACAGAGTTGGCAGCCATCACTCCCCCCACTCCTGCACCTATATCCGCCACTGTAGAGTCTACGCTGAGCACATCGGAGGTCAAGGAGAAACGTGACTCTCCTGTCCTGCGAGCATGGCGAAGTCTTCCTAGTCTTCTAGAGGCGATCGGGAAGAAAACAGAAGAGCGAGAGAGACAACCTAAAAGCGCACCTGTATCCAGAAGACCTTGTACTCTCCCATCATCCCCAGCTATCCATCGAGTACAGCCCTCCCCAAAACCGCCAGAACAGAAAACACTGTCTCCGAGTGTTCTGAAAATAGACTATAAACAGTTACAGAAAGAAAGCACAGTTAAGAAAGGAATTTTGAAGAAATCGAAGAGCAACACAAATGAACTCATTGTTATGAAAGACGTGTCAAGAAGTGAACCGATAAAAATCAAATTGAGCAAACATAACGAAGTGAATATTTCCTTAAGTAGTAATGGTAGTTCGGACATTCTAGAACGACGGAGAAGTCACAAGAGCATACATGAAATCACCAACAGTATCTATGAAGAGACTGATAGTTCGTATGTGGACAGTTCGTCGCAGAACAGTTTCTCACATAGAGTGAGACTCAAAGGTGGAGTGAGATGTGGTATAAAGAACAGCAGGAGGAAGAGTTTCATGGAGTCTGGAGGTAACAGTGTTCAGCCGATGTCCACTGGTTACTTCCCCAGACCTACGCAGGGTCAGAGCCTGGCCAGCTTCTTGTCCTCAGGTCAGTTTGCAGGAGCCAAAGCTGAGCTGGACAGGGAAAACGCACATTTTGCCATCTCCGAGGCCATGATTGCCGCTATTGAACAGGTACTTAGGTTTCTCCCTTAATCTATTCCTCTAATGGATAATACTTAACTCGCATTCCAATAAGGGTACCCTGATCTTATCATCAATTTGATCAAATAACATAAAAGTTATTAGTATCTTCCCAAAAGGCAAAAAAAATATAATTAGCATTAGCAACACAAAATTTATTTACGTTTCCCACCACAAAAATTGTAAAAATTGTTAGTTGTTGTTTTTAGTACTAACTATTAAGATGTTCTTCAAAAAAGAGATGAAACTGTTAACATAGTAATAATAACTCTTATGACGTCCTGGAAATATTTTATTCATTGTGACCATATTTTGTAACTTGCGCAATAGCTATTATTATTTTTACACTTATTTATTACTCATTAAACAATGCTAAATGTTAACAAGTTTTGATAATTTCACTCTATTCATCACAGTTAGATAAATTATTAGCGTACCTAGTATTATTGATTTTAAAAGTAAACTGGAAATACATCATGTCAAAATAACTATTATAACTATTAGGGAGATTTTATTGTTATAACTCAATATAGGTAACTTATTAAATGAGTCGTGCTTGAAACTATATTTGGTTGAACTAAAACTCAAAAATTCAAAGTTGGGTTTAAAAGAATTAATAGGTATTCATATGAAATAGATATGGTGGAGAGAACGTAAATGGTTTCAAGGAAATAGAACAAACTCGTTCGATAGTTCATCCTTGATAAGGCATTATTGTTAGTGTTCTATTGCTGTTGATAAAAAAACACATTCTTCCTCGGATTTTATTTTAGTTTGTTTTAATATACAGAATTAAATCCATTTATTTTGTCTGAAATTTAGTTGATGCCACTAGTTTATGTGAGTTTTTTTGCCTCTACGTTTACGTTTCAGAAGTAACAATAAATTGTCTCCCTGTGTATGAGAATTTATCTTGATGTAATAATCCTCAGCTTGGATTGGAATAAGAGGTTAATAAACTGGAATCTTATAATTAAGTATGCGAGCTGTGCTAGACATTGAAGAAACCTTTTAAGATTAACTTAGTCAAATTAAATACACAATCGGAGAAAACTCTGAAGAGAATTATGATATATTTAAATATGTGCTGATCAATGACTTAGTTAATCAAGTTTTAAAATTCTATTCAAACTTAGGCTGGAAAGTGTAATCTACAATTAAAATAAATAGGTAACTTTAAAAATGTTTTCCTCAATAATTATTGATAGTTTATAACAGAACATATTTTTGTACTAATCACTTTTATAGTAATACAAACAGTTATTACTTTATTAATTTTTTTAATCGATAGATACATCAGTCATAATATACTGATGGAATGGTAATCTTTTAGGTGAAGTTTAACATGTGGGCAAAAGTAGCAGAAGACACGATTGAGGAAAGCGATGAAGAAATCAATAATTTGAAGCAGCGAATCAGATTGCGGCGAAGGCAGAAACAGGAGGAGAGGAGGAGGAATGTTTTAGGTCTGTCGCTACTGAGCGATGGCAAGACTGACAGTAAGTGCTAGCTAATCCAGTTATTTGCTTTAGTCCAGTACTGTATCTGTTTGACTGCATGAAGTGTCAACTTGTTTTTTTGATTATTATTTTTTCTAAACCAATGTCATGTTTACGATTTTCTCTCAACGGTTTCTTCCATGTAGCCTAAAACGAAATAACCTAATTTCACATGTTATCAGAAAGGCATTTTTCACAATAGCAATTGTTACACTAAATATTTTTTCCTTGTACAGTACTTAACAAAAATTAATAATTTAATTTGTTGATTTGTCAATAAGCTTGTCTTTTTCAATGATTGGTTTATGTATTTATTAGCTTAGTTATTTCTTCTCTGAACTGTTTCTTTTAAATGCTGACTATTTTTTAACTGTTTTACTTACAAGGAAAGTAATATTTTTTTTAAATTGCATTTGGTCTATAAAACTACAAATTTTTAATCAAACATTTTTTTTATATTAATTGTTTTATTACATGTTTAGTGAACGTAACTGTACAAATCCAAACTATAACACGGTTTCATGTTACGATAATTAAAGGTTGACCTTAATTGATAGAAGTGTAATTTAAACACTTAAATAATAGTTTCTATCACCTGAACTATTACCACAGTTTAATGGTTACTTAAGGTCTGACCTTGATCAAATGAATGCCAAATGATATTTTGTAACCAATTGTAAGCAGCGCAGTTACTCTTATCTCTTATCAATGTCGGTTCACACCATCTTGACCTTTAGTTAAGATTAATCACCCTCCCAAGTCACTGATATGATTTATAGTTTTAGAGGTCAGTTATTTTCATTGTGTTAATTGTTTTTTTTAGTTATGTTTTGTTTACATTTTTTCTATTCATATGCTGCCCAGTAGTTGTTTGTGATTTATTTTGAACCAGTTTTGAATTTTTTAATGATTCATAACTTAGTTTTCACCACACTCTAATGTTTTTGGCTATATTACATACACATTAATTGGTGGCTGAAAGTTACGTTTTGCTGGCCATGCCAGCTGTCATCGTAATTTGGGGACCGAGCAGGTTTTTACATCCCGGGGCCGCAAAATCAGCTGTCCTCTTGCATATTAATTACACAAACAGTATCCATAGCATTGAAATAGAATTGTTTTATTTTCACCGTTGCCTAGCAACTGTTTATTATTATTTTTGCCGATTCCTGAAATTACTTCTTCACATAACCTTAAAGTTATGTTGACTATTAGCGAATTTCCCTATAGGGAAGTAGCTATTACCGTAGGTCTCATGGTAAGACTTAGGCCCGGGACCGATTTACTTTTTCATTTTGATGTCCTCAGAGGCCAAAAACACCATTCGTTCAAATTTTTATATATGTATATATATATATATATATATATGTGTGTCCGTGAACACGATAACTTGAGTAATTTTTGTCCGATTTTGATGAAATTTGGTTTGAAGGTGTAAGGCGGGATAAACTTGAATGAGTTCGCGATCCAGCATGATCGGTCCATGGGAACAGGGTTTTATGGGGTAAAAATTGGTTTTTCTCACTTCTTACCCTCAAAACACAAAATTTCCCAATTTTTCTCCAAACATTCTTAAAGAGCTTAAAAAAACAAACAATTCAGTATATCAAAGTGTTTTTGTACGGTTATTGGTTACGGAGAAAACTAAAAAAATTGTAAATTTAAAATTCCCATGTTATTCTTATGGAGAATATTGTATAATGTTGTAGTTTGCTTGTTTATGGATATCTTTTGATCAAACTTGGCAAATATATTCATTTTATACTAAGCAATAATTATTTTACTTAAAACACACACTTTATTAGTTTCCTTGTAGCAGCAAACCTAGGTACTCGTTAAACCTAATGTTATTTAAATAGATGAATTGAAAATCAATTCAGCCAAATGGAAATTCGCTTAGACGACAGGTTTGCTGCGGCGGGGGTATAAGTTTTAATTATTATTATTGTGAATAGTAGTAGTGTGGTGAAAAATAGTGTTCGTACCACGGACCGAAAATGTTTTTGCAGCTCTCAATCGATTTAAAAACTATCTCGAGCCGGCAAAACCTCGTTTTCGGCAATAGGTACGAAATATACTATTTTGTATCTCAATTTTTATTTATGTAACATTTGTGTACGGTACTGTAAAAACGTGAATGTATTTAATCCAACACAGTGTGTTTCTTCACATACTTGTCTTAAAGCCTATAATTGGCCTCAGTAAATTTAAAATTTAAATTGAGGGTTTTATAAATGTAATTGACTAAATTTTACTTAATTATCCTAGCTTAATTGCTTCTAAGTTTAAAAAAATCATATACAATTGAAATAGGCCTATATTTTGTAAGTTTACAATAATTAAAACTTGAATATTGAAATAAATGTAAATAACTATTTACTCTATTTGGGTACCTAATACTTGAGTTAAAAACAAATTAACTATAGGTAGTTTAAAAAATTACATTTTTTTTAAGTTCTGTAATATTGCATTATTTATGCACTAAAATCTTACGTAGAAACTGATTAATTATATGGAAACTCTGGTTGGATTTTTATACAAGCTCAAATCCAATTATTTCTTTACATATTCTAACTTCATAGTCAGTTTGGTAATATTACTGATATTTCATAAAAGTTATATCATGAAAGTTTTAAAATACAAAAAGTCCATTGTCTTTAAAAATCCTAAGCTCCTCCATATCTTAAGTTTATATTCAACACTTGTAGGGAATCACATGATTAATTATCTATTATTGATATGAGAGTATTTACCCCACAGTTCATTGGGTCAGTTTCATACGACGTTCACAATAATTGATTTTATTAATATTTACACTGCCTTTTTCCATAGTTTGGATATTATAAGGGTAAATATGTACAAATTGGTCAATGTTGCTGGTTTACATCCACATGCCCAACCAAACAGTCTAGTTGTAGTCGGAGAAAAATGTTGACTAAATGGAATGTATAAGAATTGTACAACATGCTGTACATGATTTTTGTCATCAACCACCAGAGTGATAGTGTGAATGTGTATGTTAGGGATTACGATTTTGTCACTTCAGTTTGTAATAATTATTTTTCAAATTTTAAAACATGCTTGAAAATCATTGTTTAGTTTATGTTTAGATTTACAAGGTAAACTAATAATCATCTCAATAAATAAGTATTTTTATTTTTATTTCATTTACAAGTATCATAAAATTCATCAGGCTCTTGGTTAATTTTTTGCGGGGTTTGTTGAATGAATAAATACATAGTTTATTCCAAAAACAGTGACTACAGAATTCAGTTGTGCTTATTCTTATTCAATACAGAGTAAGACAAAGTCATACACTAAAATTACACTTTTGTTTTAATTTACCTAAAGATTCAACAAAAACATAGGAAACTTCATGGATGATTATTATTTGCATATAAAGTGTGTAATGTTACAATTAGGTTTTTCAGTCATTGATCCCCTCTCTTCAATTTTCTTGCTGTCTTGAATCCAGTTAATAATTGTTGTCCTTTTAGCGAATTTCCCATTAAGGAATAAGCTATTACCGTAGTACTCATGGTAAGACCTGGACCCGGGACCGATTAACTTTTTTGTTTTAAGGTCCCTAGAGGCCAAAAACACCATCCGTTCAAATTCATATATATATATATATTTATATATTTTAATTCACGTAATAGGGCTGCTGATAAATTAAATTATTGTGGTAAATAAGTACAACTGAGCACCCTGAATATTATATATATATATATATTTATATATATATATATATTTATATATATATATATATTTATATATATATATATATATATATGTGTGTGTGTGTCCGTTAGCACGATAACTTGAGCAAAAATGATCCGATTTTGATGAAATTTGGTATAAACGTGTAAACCTACATTTATTCGAACGAGTTCGCGAACCAGCATGATCGGACTATGGGAACGGGGGTTTATGGGGGGTTTTATGGGGTAAAAATAGGTTTTTCCCATTTTTGACACTAAAAACACAAAATTTCACAATTTCTTTTCAAACCATTTTGTAGAGCTTAAAAACAAATAATTTAGTACAGTAGACTCTCCCTCATCAGGACCAATGTGGCGGACGTCCGGTCCGGATTACGAAAAATCCGGACTATCGAGAGTCGAGCAAATACACAGTACTGTATATAGACGTTTTTTCAATTTTGTTCCAGGTCCACAGTAATGATAGCCGGGCATATGCACTTCCACCATCGGCCAAATTTTGTTCCAGGTCCACAGTAATGATAGCCCAGGCATATGCACTTCCACCGGTAATAATTTTTACCGCCGTGTTATCCGAGTTTTTTCATTATTCGAGGTAGTCTATTGTACTGAGCCACTAAAAAAATCACTATTGCCGATCCGGACTACCGGGAGTACGGACAAGGCCGATCCGGATGAGCGAGAGTCTACTGTATATTGAAGCGTTATTGTGCGCCTAATGGTTACGGAAAAAATTCCAAAAAATTGTAAATTTAAAATTCCCATGTTATTCTTATGGAGAATAAGTCAACTGTTGTAGTTTGCTTGTTTATGAACATATTTTGATAGAATATGTAAAATACATTCATTTCTTACTAAACTATGAACATTTTACGACAAAAAACACCTTTTTACCCTCCCTGTTGCAGCAAACCTAAGTACTCGTTAAACTAATTCTATTTAAATAGGGAATAAATGGGATATTTTTCAGGAGGCATTTTAGTGTAAATCCAATCAGGCAAATGGAAATTCGCCTAGTCTGCAGGTTTGCTGCAGCGGGGGTATTTAGGAGAACAAGGCTTTTCTCTAGGTTACTACTGTATATTAAATAATAAGTTAAACTTAGACATTGATTTATATTTGTTATACAGCCACAACCACAGAAAGTGTTTCTCCACTTTCCACATCTCCTGGAGGTTCGTCTGACAGTATCTCAACAGATGGTGTAGATGACCTTGAGATAGACGATAACACCAGTAACCTCAACAAGCTTAACCAGTCTGGTAAGGGTTGAGTTATATCAACTGTTTACAAAATGTCCAGGATGTCTTGTGTTATAAATATGTAATGTACTACTCCATTACTAATTAGCAATATAACGAAAATTTAAATTGCATCATTGTATGAGATCAAAACATTTTTGTTTGTATATATTTCATGTTTAAGTGAAACCAACCAGTAGAAGTAGACTTCCCATCCCATTGTAAATTTTGAAGCTCGTTTTTTATGTCCAGTTCATGTCTGGTGACACTGAATGCTAGTGTTGACAAAATTTTATTTCTATTAATTTAGAGTTGATTTCGTTTTGCGCTTTGCTGTTTGGTTACATAACTAGAGGACAAGTTATTGTTTATGATTAGATCGTTTTATTTGGCTAAACGGGGTTTTAAATGACTGAAATAACCAGAAAAAAATTGGAAATAAATCACGACCTCTAACAATAAAATTGGCTTCAGCAGTTCCTTAAGGATGGGAAATATACTTTTAAGAGATTATGTTTTATCTATTGTGAAACCTTAGATTATTAAGATTAGCCTAGTTGATATCTAGTTGTTGTATTAAGATTAAGTTGTAGCCAGCTTTAGAATGAAAATTACTGTAGTTGAATTGATCCACTGATACAGTTTCAGGGTGTCTACCAGTCGGGAATTCCAGGAAAGTCAGGGATTTTAAAAAGTTGTGAAAAGCAATAAATTTCAGCCGAAGGTCCAAATAATCTAACCCTTAAAAATTTATCGGAAAATTATCGGGAATAATGTATTCCCGATCATCGGGACGGTATTACGTTTAGTACGAGATTTTCTTTGGACATTATTCGTTGTGATCGTTGGCGATTTTGCCGCGTCGTGAGTGACAATGATGATGTCTCCTTGATTGAGAGAGATGTAAACGATGATTGCGCGACCCCAGGAGATGAAGTTATTTCGGTGATCGCGAAGATCTTCAAGCTTGCACTGTGACCGCAAGACAAGTCAGAGATGGCGCCGTTAATGCGGGACATGTTGACAATAGTGCCATGAGCGCAGTACATGTTGACGATGGTGCCATGATCAAGAGACATGTTGACAATGGTGTTGTGACCACGGGACATGTTGACGATGGTGCAGTGACCGCCAGACATGTTGACGATATTGCCGTGACAGCGGGACATATTGACGATCGTGTCGTGGCCGTGGGACATGTTTATGTTGGTGATGTGACCGCAGGACATGTTGACGATGGTGCCGTGACCACAGGACATGTTGACAATGGTGCCGTGAACGCGGGACATGTTGATGATGGCGTTGTGACTACAAGATGGATAAGGTGTAGTAACATGGAGAATGGACTGAGGTTGTGGTCGGGATTTTTTTTAAATGGTAACGAAAAGTCGGGAATTTCATTTGAGAAATCTGGTAGACACCCTGAGTTTCCTGCTGTCTATCACTGATTTCTATCACATACACTGACTTAATCCAAGACAAACCGACCACAGAACTTGCTGTGAGCTACAGCTTTTTTTCATGTCCATCAATTATCAAAACTTAAGAGAGAAAATATAATTTTGATAGCAGTTTACGACAATGGTGATAAGGATGATCACAATAGCTATAATGATGATGAAGGTGGTTTGGTAAAATACAATTAATTCAAATTGACTCCATAGGGTTGTCAGTGTCGCTGGCATCTCTTTTCTCCGAGGCAGAGTTGTCTCGTCCACCGCAACGTGACAGTGATGTAATGTCAGGGACTGGGGTGACAGCTGAGGGTGTCGCGTTGGCACTATTGAGGCGATTCAGTGACAAACAGCTACCTCGCGCATCAGACATAGAGTGGCTAGTCAGCGAACAGGATGCTTGTGGCCAGCGAGTGAGTAGAAATACATTTTTGAAGGAATGGGAGAGTTTTCTTGAGGTTAAAAGAAATATTTTGAATTTCAAATGTTTTGCATTTTTTTTTCGAAATCCAAAATCTGCTTAACATTTTTCAATGAAACACCTACTTTGTTTTTAGAAAATCTTTGAAGATTCCTCTGCATCAACTGATTCTTTTATCTCCTGGATCTCTGAATATTACAGGTCAAACTAATATTTATTTTTTGAGCTTTTCCTCCAAACATATTTTTTTTTAATAAACCCCTTAAATTAGACACAAATACAAACGCTACACTGTATTTCCAGATATCCTAAGCTGATTAAAGCCATTAAACTGGTGTTGTGCTTGTTTAATTTGATTCTTAAGGCTCTTGTAACGTTTTAGTTTAGCCTGATTTACTCTTTGGAAGTTGTATTGTTGCCAGACCTGTTTTTATTTTGTTTCATGGGAAGAATAAATCAAAATATCGAATAATATTTATCCAATTTAAGTGTGTGCGATTGTACCCAAATTTCCTCAAAATGAATGTTGTTTAAAAATCCTTTTAGTTGTTTGATATTTTTAACCCTATCTTAACAAAACATTATTTCTAGTATGCATATACACTATTAACTCTTTGAGCTCCACTGTCCAATATATTGCATAACCAAAATTCCACTTACAAGTATCTAACTCATCCAAAACCACTTTAAGTTATAGGTGATAGGAGCTACAACCTAGAAGTCAAGTTTAAAAATGCTACATTTTGGTTTTTGGTTAGCCACTGCGGTTATTGCGGTAGTAAGCTAGGTCTGATTAATGGTCAAGCGGACCAACACGTTGTCTTTTCATCCAGAAGATAGCACTGTATATTGGGGGTAGTAATCCCGTCTTGGTCAGATCTGGTGTGCAAATCTATGGTAAAAAGTTAACAGGATCGGTAAATTCATTGTGATTTGCACAGTTGCACCTAAAATCAGGCATGTTTCTTATCTTATGTTTTGTGGTGTCCACCAGAAACCTGTTAACTTTTTTTTAATTTTATGTCCATAAGATAAGGAATAAAATAATATAGGTTCAACAAATCTATATAATACGTGAAGCCGTTTTTTGTTAACGCAACTCCTCCCTTATTTGTTGACCAATTTTAATGTTTAAGGTGTCAAAAGATTCGTCTCAATATGTAGTTTTGCAATAAGGTTTTAGAATTTTAAAATTCCTCCTCTTAATGTCGTGAGGCCCTCTCAAAGGTTGGGTTTTCCTCATAAGAAATACATAGAACAAATTTAAAAACAAAAAAAACAGCTGTTTCTAAAAAGAAACTCATTAGATTTTTGGTAGTAAATATGCTTGTAATATTCAGTAGGTTAAGACCAAGTTAAACAGTTAATCAGTTTTGTTGGAAGAACAGAAAATGCCTCAAGTTCAAAGAAGAAATATTAAAAACGGGAGGAGGAGACAATTAATAATAAGATATCTTTATGCGTATGAGAAGAGTAGAAAAAGAGAGGTGTGGTCTAACAGATACCCATCCAAATACACATTCACTTGGTGAGAAGAGTAATATTTGCCAGTTCTGCTATGCAACTTACTTTGGAAGTGAAAAAATTTACGAAGCACATAGTGTTGTCACGGGTAAGGTAAACTTGCCTAATGTCAGATCAAATGAATGCATGCAAGAAATGTTTACTTCTGACACTGATAGATCAAGATATTTAAATACATTTAGTATAAACTATGTTTATGATGAGTTAAAGTAGGAAGATTATACCAAATCTTGACGGACCTTATGTTTTTGTTGTAAACTTTTGTATTACTCGCTCTTCTTCAATTGAGAAAAAACGCAAATGGATTGTTTACTTCTAGGTTATGTTGCCAGTTCCTCGGACAAACTTTTACAAAGTTTTTTTACTGAATTCACCAACAAAATCCAGACATTTCAAGTCAAAAATAAGAAGTTTCAAAAACTCATTTACTATTGAAAGTTTTAGTGGCAATATAAGTGACCAAACATAAATGAAGGAATTAGTGTTTATGTATTCAACGATCGAGTAGTTACGGTCAAGTTTATTTTTATGATTCAGGGGGAGGCAAATAATATACGCTGTTCAAAAAGAGAAAATGAAAATTGCTATCCAAATCTTTTAGCTATAAGAGTTATCCAACATATTTCAACAAATGAATCCATACTTTCAAAACTTTGGTACAGGTATTGAGAGAAACTCCACTGATCAGAACAACAAGAGAATGTTCTGCTGCGGGACATATACCTACTGTGACTGACAGACAACACGTTAAAATACGTTAACCAACTTTCAATGGTGTTTGCTGCTTTAGCCTATTCAAAGCAGATTATGGTTGTCCAGTTGGTAACCCAGATTTTGTGGGTAAAAAATGGAGCACATGAAATGGTTGATATCACCCCACTTTTCATCATTCTCTACGGAGAAAATTCGTTTCTTAGGGGATGTCTCAAATCAAAGAAATAAAATGACCCAAATTAAATTACTTGACACAGCTTATCAGTAAGGTAACGGTTTTCTTCAATTCTCAATGCTGGAAAAACTTTGTTGCAACATGTTAACTCGAATTGAAGCAGATCGTTTAGCATTCATTAGAAGTTATCAGTTAAAACTGAGAGCAGAAATAATGTAAGTGAGCCTTGACGACGCAAATAGAGATATTTAAAATTAGTTTCTAACAAGTGTTTAAACAACTTTAAGATGTAACTAGAATTACTCGAATTTAAGCATAACGTTTTCCTCGGCGTTATGTTTCATACTATGCGGCTCATTGAGCCGCACGGGTTCTCTAGTAATCCTTAGAATTTAAGTTTCAAATGTTTGGCAAATAAACACTCTTTGTTATTTAAGTATCGGTTTGTTTGTGTGCACAGCTGTTGCCACTGCCCACAAGTGTGCCAGTAAGTCCAGACGAGGCTGAGGATCAGGATATGAGGAAAGCGACCCCACTGCGGGGAACTGTGGAGTGGGCCCCGCCTCGGCCACAGATCATCTTTACCGCCCACCCCCCTCCAGAGTGAGTAAACATCACAGGTTAAACATTTTATGTTATAGCTAAGAGTTGCGTTTTCCTACATTTTTGTTTGGGGTTATTAAATGACACTTTGAACTTAGCTCACTATGATTGATTTTATTAAAGTTTTGTTTTTGTGATTGCTAAAGTAATGTTATTAACCTGCATTGATCATGTGCAAAACTCAATCGAGTTTAACCAAAGGTTTAGTTATCCAAACTGGTATTTTGAGGAACATTTACAAAAACATCTCTTCTAAGTTTTCTGTTGTTCAGATAGGTAACGCTTTATCAATGTCTTCCAAATAAAAGCTTCTGATATTACTAAAGATTGCTCAGACTAAGATTATGTGAAGTATGTCTGCTATTATTAGAGGTGTCTTGATCAAATCAGTCAGGTCCTTTAACACACAGAAACCACGTTGAAATTATGATTCACACGAAGCACATTCTCTGTCCACAGACGGCGCATTCTTATGGCCAAGCAGAACTACAGATGTGCAGGCTGTGGTCTAACAGTTGCGCAGCAGTACGCAGGCAGGTTTAGATACTGTGAGTATCTCGGCCGATACTTCTGCACCGGCTGTCACACCAATCAGCTGGCTGTCATACCTGGAAGAGTGATACAGAAATGGGACTTTACCAGGTATGCTGAACTAAACATTCTTCTCACTAAGACTAAAAAAATCAAAGTATACTCCTACAAAAAAATTATTCAGAAGATATCTTGTTTTGGCTAGTTGTATTGCATCCGTTGCGAAACCTGCGTAAGTTTCTCTCAAATTTCAGTATGGCTGGGTAGGGTTTTCAATTTTTCACTGTATTTTATGTCGATATAAGATGTTTATCATATTATGTTCTTGACCTTGTTCAGTTCGATGCTGGATATGAAAATAGATCATATAACCTGAAACTATCCTTTGACTACTTGTTATTGGACTGATGACGTACAAAGCATGTTAAACTTGATATATTTCTCAAATGAACTGACACTTATCTTTCTCAAACTAAATCCTTGGATTGGATTGGATTTTTTGCAAAAGTGTGGGATGCATTTTATTTATTGATGAATAAAATAGTAACTTAGTGAAATTTTTCTTTTGTAGGAATTACCATAGTAAAAGAGGGGAGTAGTAATATTTTCTTTATTCTTCTTCTAGTGCAGTCCAAACCTTATTTTTAATTTTTAAATAATATAGTTTAACTTTGAAATTGATTAAGCATTATAAGAAATGTTCCTGCCATGGGATGAAAAAAAGATTTCTTAATAAGTACTGCACAATTTATTCGTCCCTGCGATAGAACAAATCAGCCTTGCTTAATCTATCAAAACCTTTTGTGTGATGTTCAAATTTACCCGCAGATGTGCTGTCTCCAATTTCTCGTACAGACTGCTGGACCAGATGGCCAGTGATCCGTTGTTTAACATCCTGGATCTCAACTCCGGATTGTACTCTCGGGTGAGAGCACTGGATAGAACCAGGGTGTACAGGATACAGCTGCACTACCTCAAGGACTTCCTCAACACATGCCGTTTTGCACTACAGTAAGTCTGTGTCCCTTGCACAGATTCAAATTTAGGCCTAAATTATAAGCAAATATGTTAAATAATCAAACACTCTTTAGAAGAATCTTAATTTTTACCCATTAAGCACCATAGACAAGTGAAGTGTGATTCATTAGATGAAATAACAAAAAATTTATCATCAACATCCACTTAGCAGCTCCAGCCTCCTGGAAGTGTGAAGCGTGTTAACTAATGAATGAGTTGTATGTTAAATTAACCCTTTGAGTGACTCGAGTTGGTGAAACAATTTTATTTGAGGTTTGCCAGGCCTACATGTGGTGTTGCTTCTAGGAATGCTGGCCATTTCTTCACATAACTGTAGGCGTTTGGGAAAATTGTCATAAAATACTTATTTATTAAAATTTTTGGCCTAAATTTGTTTTGTTTAGTAGAGTATTAGATCGTGCATTATGAAATACTAATTTTAGTTGGGGTTTCATGAGTTAAAATAAAATATTTTCATGGCAAGGATAGAAATATGGTGCAGTTTGCAAAGTTTGAGTTAAAATATCATAATATAAAATTATTCATTGACATTCAATTTTACATTCTTTTTAAAGAGCATTAAAAACTAATAAGAAATCATGTATAACAAATGTATTTATTATACTTGTCCAAAAAAATGTAACATTTACTACAAAGAGGTCTCAAAAAATTGTAGGCCCTACCAATGGCCCTACCCAGTAAACAACCCAAATCATGCTCTAAGACTTGTGTTGTTACAGACAAAACTATATTATTTTACATTTGACTGTATTTTATGTTGTTATTATTATGTTTATAATTCAAATTACTATTAGAAGCCATGCACAAAATATACAAACGGTCAAAATAAAATCATGCACCTAAGACCTATGCTACCATGTCCATATACCGGTACATTTTATGAGATTAGCCACAAACTATCACCAAAACACAGAAATAAGTTGTGGTATTATAACTTTTTTAAGGTTTAAAATGTATTTTTCAATAATTCATGACCATAACCTGCAATTCTATAACCAAAACAACTTGTAAACAACAGTCGAAACAACAACACAACACACACACCAGTTGTGTAAAGCTGTCTACTATTGCGTAATGGTTTTTTATTGGTTGACCCCATTTCTCAGCTCCATTGTACAGTAAAAGAGCAAAATAGTAGTTGCCAACCTCCTTCTGTCGCATTTGGTGTGATTTGCGGCCAGCTTTATTGAAATGTCATAATGTATGAAGTGATTTTCTGAGCGTCTCGCTATGTATTGTTATTGTTTCTGATTTGTAATCACAAACATTCATCATGTGTTCATAGCTTCATTTATGTAAATATATGAGTAAAATAAATATTGTCAGTCTTTCATAGAAATGTCCTAAGACTACACTAAGAGAGAATGAATTGACAAGCAACTAAATCACTTCAGAAAAGAATTTCAGGCAGTTGATGGCACCCAAAAAGTTTCCACCACAATTCACTATTCATTTTGGGTACCGTCAACTGCATGCATTTCTTTTTATTTGGTAAGTTTAGATGTGTATTTTTTCCTTCTTCCTGTAAAACAACATAGTTTATACCCTTAGGCATTGATTCCCTGCAAAATGGTTACTCGATAAAGCTTCCGTTTTGTCTTACTTGTGTTGGTGATCGTGCTTTTTTACCTAGTTTTGCAAATTCCATTACCATCAAAAGGTATATTTCAAACTCCAGGTGACAGATTGGCAATACTAACATGGATGGTTGTATTACAGAGAAGACGGTTGTCTACAGGATTTTTTGAGGTCCACTCCCCCATACTTTCTGATGGATCCCCATGTCTACTCCATCCAAGACCTGAAGCAGGTTAAGATCGGAGAGATGACTGAACAACTGAAACTCCATGTAACCGCTGCCTTGGCTCATGTGGAGGATTGTGTGGTAATTCATACTATTTCAGTAGACTAACAACTCTTTAAAGTTCAATGAGATATACTTTGCAAGTTTGTTCATGTTGCACAAATGAACTGTTAATAACAAAATACAAAATAAAATCATTGCCTTTTGGATACTAATGTAGACATCCTCTCCCTATGTTGGAGCCAATGATGTTTCAATGTAAAATCACATTTCATTTCTTAATTTGTTCTACCTTAATAGTTGATGTGATATAAAACATGCAGTAGTCTACATTAGGTAGTTCTTTAAGCTTGGCCTGGTTAAAAAGTGGCCGTATTTAAAGAAATCAGTAATATACATTTGTGCACTCTGTGAATAACTCAATTCAATTAGCCTACAGTAGAGGGTCGATTATCCAAAGCAATCGGGGATCTGGGGTGTTCGAATAAAGGTTTTTTTTAGATAGTTGGTGAATGATAGTGAAAATTATATACATAATTTTTATTTTAACTTTGATTGCTAAAATAGAGATTGAAATGTATACATGCAAAACAGATTGTTGACTGTCTCCTGCAATTGTAGCAACGCTCAAGAGTATATATTGTGGTGTTTGCGTCACCACTGTTGGTTCTTGGAATAGCAGCAACGCATGTGAGAATATCATGCGGTTGCTTCATCACCGCTGATCGTTTCATGCGATCATGGCAACACCACACCAAGTAACGGCCTTTTGGTTTTGATGTTTCGGATGATCGGGCTTTGAGTAATCGATGCTCACTGTATGTCCATTTTCATTCAAAGACTGACTACAACTTAACATGTGAATGGAATGTCTCCTTCTATCCATACTCAAATAGTTTGTAAACAAAAACCTCAAAATTGAAAGTGTAACATCTAATCTTAATCACAATTTCCTTGTAATTGCAGTTGTGCCAAGGACGAGGGTTCGTCTGTGAGGTGTGCAACAAACCCGAGGTGATATTCCCCTGGCAGCTGATGAAGGTGGACAGGTGTAACAGCTGTGGCAACTGTTTCCACTCTGACTGCTACAAGGTCGGCACCACTGCTTGTGGTAGATGCTTCAGACTGACCAAGAGAAAGAACTCCATCCTCACATCACCTGTTGAAGTGTCATAGCGAAGACTGAAGTTCCATCCAAGGAAGACTGAGAATTTGTCGTAACACTGTCTGTGATTTACCTGGTAGCTTATGAAAAGTGATAAATGAAAAAATATCAAGATTTTGCTCAATGTGAGTTATCAATCAAATACTATAAAAGGCCTGGCCTGATGTATTAAGGAGTTAATAATTTGGTTAGGCTGGATAGAGTATGTTAATTGAATTTTGTGTTACTTTTCTTTTTCCTTCTGTGGTTTAGAACAAATTATATATAGTTTAAGTAAACCAACCTGTTATCATATTCTATCAAAATGTTATTCTAGCGGTACCAAAGATGCAGAAGAAGTAAGTTAAAATGATCTTAACTTTTGATATGTTAGGTTATTTTATTTTTATTTTATTGCTTGGTTTATTATTGTATGCTAATGATTTGCTCTTAATCCGTTACTTTACAAACGAAGCTGGATTATTGTAAAACTAATTGGAGGGTGAGGATTACAATACTGTGATATGATCTGTTAAGTATAATTGCACATTTGGTATGAGCAGCTCTTGTTAACTCACTTAGGTCTACATTGTATCAGAAATTACAACTTTTTAATGGACTTGCAGGTAAAGAGTTAAAATATTTACGAATATTGTACCTATATTACTATATAGGTATACGATTGAGATAGTAATTAATAAACTAGCTGCATTGTAGGATAATTTAGCTACCTTCAATTAATGTGTGGTTCGATTTATTTTGGATCAAAGTTTTCTGCCATAAAGTACTCAAATCAAAATAAGATGCCACGGCAAAATCTGACTGTTGTCTCATGCCTTCACTCACTACAGTTAGTTGTAATTCAATATATTTGAAGACACTTAGCTAAAGGCATTTATAGCCTTCCAACAAAAAGACTGGTGTGTACAGTAGGTACTCTTTTATCCACCATTTTAAGGATTTTGGTTAAACTGAATAACTAGTTTTAGTCATTTTAACAGAAAGTTAACATATTAGTTATTTACTATGTTACTATAAAAATACCAACATAAATGGGACCTTAATAAACAAAAGAGATGTTTTAGGGGGTCAGCTAATATTTAATAACTTAATTGCAGTAAGCAGATTTTTAAAACACTATTCCTTTTAAAATGAATTCCTTGTGACAGGAAGGATCAACCGATGTCAGTTCATTTGATGTTATATAAATCAAAAGAGTGCCTACTGTAGTTACGTTTACAGATTCCTCTAGAATGTATGTGTTTGGTTTGGCCAGTAGGTTAAGCACTGCGGGATGAAAAAACTGTTAGTGAACCTCTAATACAGTAAACTAGTTTATCGAAATTGGTCTGTTCTGTTTTGCACCGTCCCAAAGTCATATCAAAGTTGGTGCTTTTTGACTGCCATAATGTGAACGTTTGTGTAGATCAGGTCTTTCCTAGCTCTGAGGTTGCAAGGTAGCCTACATTAGGCAACTATAATTGTATTGTTATTGTTAGCTGTCTTGTGAAACGCCTATCCTATTGTACAATTGTGTTTTATTTTTATACTATATTCTAACAACAAACTACGAGTGAATTCTCGTATCACATCACTTAATATTTTTAGATTACTGTAATACAATTTTGAACATAAACATTGACATCTAAGTTTTAAGAATGAACTTATTTTATAATTAATTATAATTAACTAAGTTCGCAAGTTTTCATTTTAATATTTTTGATATTATTACACAATCATCATGTTTAACTTTTATACACTTTCATGCAAATAATATTTCGTTAGTTTTATAACTTTAATATAGTTACGAATTTAAATATTTAATATAAAAGTGTTAATAAATATGTTTATTGTTTATACTATTATTGTTGATTAAATAAATCTAACAAAATAAATTTTATGTTCCCTTCTTTTTCCAAATCATATAAAAATTCTAAAAGGAAGAAATCTTCTAATCAAAAAACCAGCGAACTTGTGACAGCCAATTTAAATCAGAAAAAAGAGGGGGGGGGGAATGAAGTTAAAAGAACTGCCGATTAACATTTCCAATATACCTACTACTAGAGGACCCATGCTGCTCCACAGCATCATATAGGATGGAGAGGACACAGCTAACTCACCTGATGAAAGGTTGCAGACGAGTCAAAGAACACATAAGTTCTTTGTTATGTGTGTGTTTTATGTGTTCTTTGACTCATCTGCAACCTTTCATCAGGTGAGTTAGCTGTGTCCTCTCCATTCTATATATTTATTTGATTTTTAATTCAGTAATACAGTATCTTGGAACTTAACTTAAACGTTTGCTTAAAACTCATCTAATATCTTAAATGAAAGCCGGTATTTCACTGAATTTTCTTATACCAAATATATAGGATTATGTATATTGTAACTGATTAAATACATCTTAAATTGAAGTAAGAATTTAAAAAAAAATCAAATTTATGTTTTTTGTAATACAGTAGATAAATATATGCCAATGCTTGATGTGAAATCTGGGAATGCATACTTCCAATTTGAGACCTCAATAATGAAAATGGGTAGAAAAGCCAAACAAACTCGGAAAGAAAAACCAAATTTAACTCCCATAAGAAATACATGGGGAGAAAATTTCAGTTACATATATGTCGAGTGGGACTGTAGATAAATATATGTCGACGCTTGATGAGAAATCTGTGCGTGCATACCTTCAATTTGAGACCTAAATCATGAAAATCGGTCGGGTAGAATAGCCATTAAGATTGAGTGCTTAATATCGGGTGCTACATTATTGAAGAATTCATGGTCACCCAAATCATTGACAGACAAGCGGAAAGTAAATAAAAGAGACGTCTTATAACGCTTAAAACATATATTTACGCAAATCCTGTTACTCACAAGACGGTAAATATACAAAAAAGATGGTAAGTGGTGATCGATTTTGATTGGACACTCCAATCATCATCAGACCCAATAGGCGAATTGGCCTATTAATTCGCCTATTGGGTCTGATGATGATTGGAGTGTCCGATTGAAATCGATCACCACTTACCATCTTTTTTGTATATTTACCGTCTTGTGAGTAACAGTATAAGCGTAAATATATGTTTTAAGTGTTATAAGACGCTTCTTTTATTTACTTTCCGTAAATTTAATAACACGTACAATGCTGATCAAGAAGTTAAACAGACAAGTGAACAGAACATGAACAAGGTATTAAAAGATACGTCTATGATCTGACAATAACTTATATTATAATTTAAAAGCCTAAAAATACAATGGTGTATACAGTATAATAGTAATCTACACAAGAATGGGTGATCAGTACAAAATACAGTGTGTGGCTAAGATATGGAGTCTAGGCAGGTACCAGAGGGGGAGGGGTAGAGGTAGGGGCGGTGTCTTGGTCCCCACCCCCTTCACCTCGAGCTTTTTTCCGCCTCTCAACATGCCCGTGACAGTTGTCACACTCGTCGTCATCTTCACTGTCCGAACTCTCACCAAACGCCCTAGGCTTGTTGTAAATGCAGCAACCTGAAATAAAAGGAATATTATAAACGTTAGGTTAACGTCGTTGTAAACGTCTACTACATCAGTATACAAGGTTATTTGTGTTTCAAGTGGCAAAAGTAGATGGTCAAAACCAGAAAATATAGAATGCAAAACCAAAACATAAAAAATTAAATCTAGTATCTCAAAACTTGAATACAACACTTTTTTACTCTCCTGGTTATGTACAAAAATACAGATAATAATAAATAGTTTATTAAAATTAATTAACCCTCCGAGTGTCCATAGTTTAGGCCTTAATGTCCACCTATTTTTGGCCCCTTTGCAAGGTTTTATTAAAACGGATCTGAGAAGCTTAAAACAATGTTAATTCTAATGTTCTATATACCATTTTGTTTGGAAAATCATGGGCTTCAATATTATATATAAAACATAAGGAACATTTAAAAAAAAAAAAATTTTAGGTAAAAAAAAATATAATTTCAAAAATTTTCAAAAAAAAAATAAGTTCGCGCTCAATGAAATTGTATAAATTATAGGCCTATAAATATTTGAAAATAGCCACTTTGTTCTAAATTTAATGAGGATTACAAATATATAATCATATAGCGAGGTAAGTTATCAAATAAATAAGTTATGAGCGAAAAACGGATTTCAGTACATAGCGTTTAGCTAAGAATGCATAGCCTAACCATAGCTAGGAATCTGGCTGATAATTTACATCAATATCACTACCTACTTCTTCAGGATCATCAACCAGCACTTCAAAACCACTTAAATCTTCTTATAATGCACCACGTATATCACTACTTTTGATTTTTAACACTAAAACAATGATAAACGTAATAAAACACATCAGTCATCGGTCCGGGGGAACCTAGCTGTTTACAAATACACGCATGTCAGCTGTCTGCTACAATATTTTCGGAACTAAAATGAATAGCGCTTAGAGACAGACCTCTGGAGAAAGCTTAGAATATTACGGAAAGAACGATACCTAACTCGATCCAGTTCAATCCGATTCAGTCAGTCATAGAGCCTTCGCCGTAAACGATGTTTGTGCGTCTTAAACTCGACGCGTGACCCTACACAAAGTGTGTTGTGCGTCTTAAACTCGACGCGTGACCCTCGGAGGGTTAAACAAATAATAATTAAATAATATAATTAAATAAAATTATAAATAATAATTATAAAATAATATAATAAAATAAAATAATTAAAATTAATAAAACAATTAACAATTCTTTTCACAGCATATTTTAAGGGATCTCCACTGGGCGACAGCGGCACCGGACTTACCGGGGGGTCGAGGGTATTGTTTTTCCACCCCTCAGCAAAAAGGGGGGTACAGGGGTTCTCCCCGGAATATTTTTGCATAAATTAAAGTGAAAATCACACATTTCTACGTATCTTTTAATGAATTTTCCGATTATATTTGCTTGTAAATAGTCCATATAATCTCACTTAATTACGTATTCTAGAACGTTGTAACAGGCCAAGGCTCGCTTCAAAACTTTTCGGGCCAAAATCAAGCATGTTAATCACTCGTTTACTAGACGGAAGCTGAGAGTAGGCCTACTCTAAAATATTTACACAATGTAATTTTTTTTTACTTTAAATTCTCATACAATGTGAATCATTAAAAAAAATATGCCGGTACCAACCATATTCCCACTGGGCGACAAAATCTCAGCACTAGGCAACACTTGTGTCGCCCAGTTAACATGTTATTTTATGCCCTGATACTTTTACTTTTTATACTCATACTCAAACTAAATTAATGGTCTATAGTCTGTGCTAGCACTTAAATCGAAACACCGGTTAATTTTTTGAAGTGGTAGTTATTTTGTTTATGTATCAGCTGCATTTAACAGAGGTAGATTAGGAAATAAGTCTAGGTATTGCATTCTCACCTGAAACTAGCTTCTCGTGTCTATTTAAATATACATCATTCATTGTCTTTATATTCTTATATTTTAATTAAAAAATGAGGTCATATTCGTGATAATGTTTCATGAGAATATTTGAAGGTATCTATCTGACCGAGGAATAGCAGGAAACCATTGTTGCTTACGCGTCGGATATCTTGGAATCTTAAAACTCTGTATGTATTTTGAGTTTTAAATGAGCTTTTGTAATTATTCTTTCACCCTGGCACAACACATTTATCTGGCATGGTGTAGTAACAAGTTCAATGTCATAACTAATGATTAAAGGTAGTAGAAGCACGAATAAGTAAGTCGGTACGCGACTCCTCGATTCACTATTGTGGTAAGACGATCGCGCGCCAAGACTCAGATGCGACTTGCGAGTTTTCGCTCGCCGCGGCCTTGTGTACTAGAGAAGACTATGGTATATAATCCACCCTCTAAAATTGAGAACTAGAAAATATAAATGTAGTCTTGCTTGTATTGTCCTGTTAAGCTGGCTGACATTAAGTTAAAAGCAGATTTATTTCCGATTCACAGGTTTATTCCATTCAAGATGTTATATTCTGATGGACCAAAAACCATTAAAACCATTGTGCTTAATTAAAGAAAATGTTTTTTTTTTGTTTTGTAAAATAACACAAGAGTCATTGTACCAACTTAAGGTTAGATGGGTCTATTTCATTTACTTACATTTGGATTTTTTCTTATTTAAGTGTTCATTATCAACTGTGTCTTCACCCCATTTTACTTGTTTCTTGGATTTAGGTTTTTTAAGCCTCAACCGCAATGTTGGGAGATCCTGGAAAGAAGGATATAATTAGCATTGAGCTGCCACATCAATTTCTTAACCAATAAAAACATACAAGTTAAAGATTTAAAATTAGCCACTTTTTTGAGTTATGACACTTCTAGCATAACCAAGCCTTAGGAGTTGTTTTCTTACGTCAGTTAAGATAAAATTTCCTTTAAAACAACTAATTGGTCAATCAACAATCCAGGGTACAGCATTTATAAAAAAGGCCATCTTTTTTGTAAAAACATTTTATAAACTTCAATTATACAGGGTGTTATATAAACGCCCTGTATAACAAAGCGATTCCATTATATTAGAACTACCAAGTGACATAGATTAACTTTTTTGTATTTATGACATATTTTATGGTCTTGGTTGAGACACCAAACATTACAGAACCTAAATTATTCTTCCTAAGGGTAGTAATCAAAGGTTGTAGGCCACCACAATGCATTACATTTAACATTTACGTAGTACTGGATACCAAAATATGATTTTTTTAAACTGGACACTACTTTATTTTTAAGTCCTTTCTGCAGTATAGCCTAAACGTAATTGTTAGAGTAGCTTACCATGAAAGGATCAAATCATTAATTAATTGTTACATGAAAATTAATTCTTATCAGTTTTATAATATTTTATAGTAGAAAGCCCATGATAACTTTAATTACATTTTGATTCTTAACTAAGAAATATTTCTCAAAAGTTTTATATTAGTATGTGAAAAATAAGGTTAATAAAAATTACTTGGTTTTGTGGAAAAATAACACTTTTTATTATATTACAGTTTTTAGCATTATACATTGATTTATCGATTTTATTGTAACTAACTACCTTTTTTACACCTGTTTTGTAATTTACACTTTTGGAGGATAAACTACAAAAACTAAACTAAATAATTACATAAGAATACAGTTGAAAAATATATACCTATTAAGTTTAAACAAATTTTTATGTTGGATCAAATATTAATAAAAACAATAGCATTTGTCATTTAGATATTAATTAATGACTCTATCTAACAACAGGTCACAGATAGTAACCAGATAGTAGGGTTTAGACCAATCCCTTAGATTTTTTTTAGAAATTTCCCTCAATTAACCTACTGTAGTTTGCAAAACCAATAGCCACTTAATTTACAGGTTAATTACTTTTCATAAGATTTTTGACTTGATATGATGTAACGTTTTGAGATATCTAATCATTAAATAAATGTAATCACTACACAAGATAAAGCACTAAAACAGTTTGCTTTCTGTTTTCGGCAAACACACTCCTTGAAAATCTGAAAATATTACAACAGGTAGATTTTTTTTATCCCACAGGGTTTCTTAATTAAATATTGCCAAGGAATTACTTAAGAAGTCCATAAGGTTGGGAATGGATGACAATATTTAGCTAATCATCAGAAAACAATAAATTTACTGAAATAATCAGTCCATCTTCATATGTTTCTCACTTAAAAAGTACAAACACAATTTAAGGTAGATTTAAAACTTGAAAGGTAAGTTAGTGCTTACTGAAGTAGGCTATAGCAATTCTGTTTACAGGGAGAAAATTTATTTTTTTACTTAGAGGTAAGTAAATTTCAAACTATGCCTTGTGTGATTTAAACCATTCTTTAGAATGCTTGACAATGAATAGATAATAGATGGGTGATTTATTCCATGGTCCAATAGCATAATTTAACTTCATGATTTGATTTGTAATAAACTAACTGATATAAATGGATTAATATATTTGTTTTTACTACATTCCCCTAAATTACTACATTATTCTCTGCCCTAAACACGGCAGAGAATAATGTGACCGTGTTCTGCATTACATTTAATAATACTCTGGATGGGGCAATCAAAGCTCAATTTTCCCAAAAAAAAAAATGAAAATCCAAACCAAAAATTAATCTAACGGGGGGTAGAACTAAATCTATATTAATGGTTCGTTTATGGAGTATTCATAAAAAAATACTACTAGGTACTGTCATTGACTATTGGATACTGGGAAAATGCTAGTACAGTATAACTATAACTATACAATGAAACATGGACAGTGTTTAAACAGAACAAACACTTGAAAATTTCCATTAAGCTTATCTGTTTTCTCGCTAAAAGAGGAAAACAATTTCAAGGTGCTTGATTAGTTTGGATATTAGTTTAAACTATAACACTACATACAGGAATAATGTTAAATTTTTGGTAGCATTTCAACATTTAAATTTGTTTACAGACAAGTAAATATATTGTTTAATTGAGCCACTGATGGAGTGTGCATAAGTCAATCACTGGTTTCTGTCCATTACACCAACTTTTAACCAAACCAAGGACTGAATAGGCAGCTTATTGTGAGCTATAGCATCTTTTATGATATTTTAACAATCATAGTATGATACCTTGCCACAGCAAACCTGCAGAATGCAGACTAAGCGAATTTTCATTTACCTGGTTGGATTTTGCGCAATAATGTTCCCCTAAATTTTTTAGATTTATTTCCTTTATAAATAACATTGATTTTAATGAGTAACCTACTTAGGGTTGATGCTACAGGAAGGTAATGTCAGCACATTACATGTCAGCATCTGAGGTACATGTTTTTGTAAGACATGTTGATGGCTTAGTACGAAATAAACAAATTGGTCAAATTAAATCAAACTATTGCCACAACCTAGCAAATACAACCTATAAAACCTAACCTAACCAAACTTGCTGATTATGAAAAAATGTTATGAAGGTTTACTAATAGAATCAATATTTTTAATCGATATTAGGGTAGCCCGGTTAAGAAACTGTTTCCGGTCTTTTTTACCTCCTGCCCACTACACCCCTTCCACTAAAACCCCTGAATCACTCTTACGCTCTGGGGAGTCAAACGGCACTCGGGCCAACCTGACGGTTTTGACAGTTCATGACCCCACAGCAAAGAATAGGACGGCACTCGCTCCACATCCCATATCCAGTATCCCGGTCATTTTGATTTACTTTATATGGCCATTCTTTTTCAGTTCTCCGATTTTTTCTGGCGAATAATTCAGCACTTGTGACAAAACATGGTCTGTATGCTCTCCCAGAAGAGGTGGAGGGGAGTGTATACAATTTGTGCTGTCAGAATATTCCACTGGTGGTCCGACAAGTTTCACAGTAGATCCATCTACCAGCTTCACATCCTGGACTAGCTCTATGGCCTTCACGTGCTCATCCTCAAACACCTGGAAACATTAATCGTCTTGAAACTTTGAAGGAAACATGCTAACTCTTCAGAAGACTACATAGAAAATATGTTGATTTAAGTTTTAGAAGTTGTCTGAATAAATTTAAAAAGGCACATTTTTGTTGATTAAGAAACAAAACAACCACTCACCATCTTTATGAAAATAAGCCGGTGAATGTCAATGTTTAAGATTATAAGGACAATATGAGGAAACTATTGCATTACTTTCTCTACATTGACATTGTATTACAATAAGTCCATACAAAAGAGAAAGTTTATCCTTAACACTGACAAGAGGTCTAGTTACATTTTTTTAAGATCAACAGAAATGCTTTATTCCTTGAGCAATAAAATACATCCTAAGCTACAGCATACATGAATTAATTTATAAACATTGATCTTATTAACAAAATGGTAGAATTCTTATTTAACATATTATTATTGGATTAATGATAAAGAGTTCCTATAAGGAGTTATTTAGCCTAAATTAATCAATAGTTACCAACCTGAGATAGTGTATTCACTTGTCCATAAGGAAAAGCAGAACCCTCCAAAGTCTTCAGCCATTCTGCTGTGGACTTTGATATAAAAACGTTTATTAATTGTCTTATTAAAGCCTTTCGGTTCTTAACCCGTTCCTTGTTGGTTGCAAACCTCACATCTTTATACAGCTCGACAAGATTAATTCTCTGACAAAGTGATTTAAACTGTTGATCTGAACCTGTTCCTACAGTCAGATAACCATCAGCAGTAGCAAATGTTTCATAAGGCACGATACTCTCATGTGCTGTCCCCCACTTCTTAGCTTCTTTCCCAGCATTGAGATAGTTGGATCCAATGTTTATTAAACTGGCTATTTGTGTTGAGAGAAGATTGCAGTCAATTTTCTGCCCTCTGCCTGTCTTTGCTCTATGTAGCAGAGCTGCTAGTATTGCTCCGTGTGCAAACAGTCCGGTCGCCAAGTCAGTCATGGCTACCCCAGGCTTGCATGGATCTCCGTTTTCTGGGCCTGTGATGTGCAGGAGTCCACCGATGGAGGCAGCGATCACGTCGTACCCAGGTCTCTTGCTGTAAGGTCCTTTTGAGCCGTACCCAGTCAGAGAGAGGTATATAAGATGAGGAGCTATCTTTTTTAGTGAGTTGTAACCAATACCTAGGTCATCTAACTTACCGGGGACAAAGTTTTCAATCAGTACATCACTGACTTTTGCTAAATCGTTGATAACTTCTACGCCCTCGGGAGTTTTCAAATTTACACAAACACTTTTCTTATTTCTGTTAAGGCACACAAAGTAGCAGGTAAGCTCCGATTCTTTAACGTAGGGAGGGCCCCATTTTCTAGCTTCGTCTCCCCCTTCAGGCTGCTCAATCTTGTAAACTTCTGCTCCTAAATCTCCTAAAATCATGGTACAAAATGGACCAGCTACTATTCGAGTCAAGTCAATAATCCTTACACCACTTAATGGGCTACCAAGATCGGATGTAGAAAAATAGTTGAAACCTTTGTACGATCCACATATCAGTTTTCTTGTACTCCTTCCTTTCAGCATGCATGCTACACATGCTTTAGTGGCTAAAATATACCTGAAATAATAACATCAATCTAATGCATTCATGCGGCACATTCTAGTCCATCCTGTAAATAGCCTAGATAAAAAAAAACAAGTATGCCAAGTAGTTTTATGTTATCATAAAAATGTCTGCATACAAAAATTTCAGATAGGTTAGTTAATGCAATAAGTTGTAGACCTAGGTTTTACAAATAACTTAGTTGATTATTATCAAATTACAGCTAGATAGTCAAATTTTGCAGCACTTCTAATGGTTTAGCAATATTATATACGGTAGCTTAAGGTACTATGAACGGTTTTTCGATTTTATAATAACTAGAGATGTTAAATTAAATCAACCCTTAGTTTGCCTTCTTAATTTAATTATCTAATGTACATTTTACATCATTATTTTTGTAACTTGGTTAGGCCTCATGACTTAGCGAATATTATTTACGAGTACAGTTGACTCAATAATGAGACACTTGGCAGTCTGATCCTGCCATGAACACATCCACATTTAGCATCTGTAAAAATAGGTAGCCTGCAGAATTTTGATTTCTGTTGTACTGAAGCTAATAGGACTCTCGTTTCTCTCCAATTGGGGTGTCCAATCAAAATCGGTGGTCCTGACAATTTACAATTATTATTATGTGAATAAAACTAGGCCTCATTTTTAGGATTTATTAGTCAATTAGGTACGGTAGTAAATCAAACTTTTAAAAGTATTCGAGTTTTTCAGCAATTAGACTAAGCTACTAGCTACTTGGGACACCTTATTGAATTTAGGCTAATTTAAAAGTTATGTCTACAAGATACCTACAGCTGTACCTACCTACACGAGGTAATAAACTAAAATTGTATAAAATAAATAAAACATTGCTTTTTCTGTAAAAAAGGACTCTCAATAGTATTAATTGAAACACCCAGTAGACAAGGAACGTAATAATAACTTATAATAAACCTGTAGGCCTATTGGCTTCCATGGTCAATGATTGCACATTCGTATTCTTGGTCAATGTTTTCATTTACCTATAGTCTAGATTGATATTAAAACATTACTCTAGGACCTAACTTGTGTTGAGAATTATGACCGTTTCCGTCTGCAATTAGGTTAATTTTAACGGTACCTATTTATTTTTCTGGAACGCAATGTTGCATTTTTGAAATAGTATTTTGTTGTGTCTTACCCGGTATTTTAATTGAGCAAAACACATTTAAGTCACACATTTTTAAAACATTTAACTTGGTCTGGAGTTAACATAAACTAACAGTTTGGTTCCTTAACCTAAACTAGGGTACAGTTCTGTAGAGAACCTGGTGATATGATGTCGGAGTAAATATCAATTAGGTCCATATGTATCAATTATAATTTGGTCGAATCAAATTTAATCTGGCCATAAACTACTAGGCCTCTTATTATATGAATAAAAACAATAACCAAAACATTAATAAAGCTGTTTCTTTTTTATCCTATAAGCTTAAGATAACTTAATTTTTTATGACTAAAATGGGATGAAACTATGCCTAACTTATACATTTTTGAACCCTATGCGGTGATCAAACTTGGATAACTTTGTTAAATTGTAAGTTAATGTTTGGGTCCAATTTAGGCCTAATACCTTTTTGTTTGTATTGGTTATAAAACATTGAATTGAGTAGGCCTAACTTACCTTTGAAGTTATTGGTCTGTAAGCTATTCAATTGAAACCAAATAATAGACCTATTTTATGAACATTAGGGTACAGTTAGTTCCACAGAGAACTTGTGATATAGGCCTATTGTCAAACAACTATCACAGCTCCAAATTCGCAGAAAGGTCCACCTTCCATCCTCACATTAGGGATAAGCATCGATAACTTAGTCGATGTTTTTCTATCGATGTTCAATGGTAGGTTACCGATAGGCCTATGGGATTGGTGTGAACCTGGCAATAACTCCAGCCATAAGTAGTGCGCGCGCCCGAAAAAATCTATTGCTGGCCGTTTTGCGGCAAAATGCGACCGCGTAACATGAAACCGATGATGTCACCAGATAGAGGACAGTTTAACGGACACAACAGTATCAATATCATGTACCTGGGGAATAAGAAAGGGGGGGTAAAGTCAGCAATAAGTAGTGGGCGCGCCCGAAGAAATCTATTGCCGGCCGTATTGCGGAAAAATACGTCCGCGAGCAATAATAACGACGATGCCAACAGATAGAGGACACTTCAACGGACACGACAGTATCAACATCATGTACCTGGGGAGTAATTTAGGGGGGGTAAAACCAGCAATAAGTAGTGGGCGCGCCCGAAAAAATCTATTCCCGGCCGTATTGCGGAAAAATACGTCCGCGAGCAATAATAACGACGATGCCAACAGATAGAGGACACTTCAACGGACACGACAGTGTCAACATCATGTACCTGGGGAGTAATATAAGCGGGGTAAAACCAGCAATAAGTAGTGCGCGCGCCCGATAAAATCTATTGCTGGCCGTATTGCGGAAAAATACGTCCGCGAGCAATAATAACGACGATGCCAACAGATAGAGGACACTTCAACGGACACGACAGTATCAACATCATGTACCTGGGGAGTAATATAAGGGGGGTAAAACCAGCAATAAGTTGTGCGCGCGCCCTTTCAAATCTATTGCTGGCCGTATTGCGGAGAAATACGTCCGCGAGCAATAATAACGACGACGCCAACAGATAGAGGACCCTTCAACGGACACCACAGTATCAACATCATGTACCTGGGGAGTAATATAAGGGGGGTAAAACCAGCAATAAGTTGTGCGCGCGCCCTTTCAAATCTATTGCTGGCCGTATTGCGGAGAAATACGTCCGCGAGCAATAATAACGACGACGCCAACAGATAGAGGACCCTTCAACGGACACCACAGTATCAACTTCATGTACCTGGGGAGTAATATAAGCGGGGTAAAACCAGCAATAAGTAGTGCGCGCGCCCGATAAATTCTATTGCTGGCCGTATTGCCGAAAAATACGTCCGCAAGCAATATTAACAATGATGCCAACAGATAGAGGACACTTCAACGGACACGACAGTGTCAATATCATGTACCTGGGGAGTAATATAGGGGGGTAAAACCAGCAATAAGTTGTGCGCGCGCCCTTTCAAATCTATTGCTGGCCGTATTGCGGAAAAATACGTCCGCGAGCAATAATAACGACGATGCCAACAGATAGAGGACACTTCAACGGACACGACAGTATCAACATCATGTACCTGGGGAGTAATTTAGGGGGGGTAAAACCAGCAATAAGTAGTGGGCGCGCCCGAAAAAATCTATTCCCGGCCGTATTGCGGAAAAATACGTCCGCGAGCAATAATAACGACGATGCCAACAGATAGAGGACACTTCAACGGACACGACAGTATCAACATCATGTACCTGGGGAGTAATATAAGGGGGGTAAAACCAGCAATAAGTTGTGCGCGCGCCCTTTCAAATCTATTGCTGGCCGTATTGCGGAGAAATACGTCCGCGAGCAATAATAACGACGACGCCAACAGATAGAGGACCCTTCAACGGACACCACAGTATCAACATCATGTACCTGGGGAGTAATATAAGGGGGGTAAAACCAACAATAAGTTGTGAGCGCGCCCTTTCAAATCTATTGCTGGCCGTATTGCGGAAAAATACGTCCGCGAGCAATAATAACGACGATGCCAACAGATAGAGGACACTTCAACGGACACGACAGTATCAACATCATGTACCTGGGGAGTAATTTAGGGGGGGTAAAACCAGCAATAAGTAGTGGGCGCGCCCGAAAAAATCTATTCACGGCCGTATTGCGGAAAAATACGTCCGCGAGCAATAATAACGACGATGCCAACAGATAGAGGACACTTCAACGGACACGACAGTATCAACATCATGTACCTGGGGAGTAATATAAGCGGGGTAAAACCAGCAATAAGTAGTGCGGGCGCCCGATAAAATCTATTGCTGGCCGTATTGCTGAAAAATACGTCCGCAAGCAATATTAACAATGATGCCAACAGATAGAGGACACTTCAACGGACACGACAGTGTCAATATCATGTACTTGGGGAGTAATATAGGGGGGTAAAACCAGCAATAAGTTGTGCGCGCGCCCGATAAAATCTATTGCTGGCCGTATTGCCGAAAATTACGTCCGCGAGCAATAACTTATTGCTGGTTTTACCCCCCCTAAATTACTCCCTAGGTACATGAAGTTGATACTGTCGTTTCCGTTGAAGTGTCCTCTATCTGTTGGCGTCGTCGTTATTATTGCTCGCGGACGTATTTCTCCGCAATACGGCCAGCAATAGATTTGAAAGGGCGCGCGCACACCTTATTGCTGGTTTTACCCCCCTTATATTACTCCCCAGGTACATGATGTTGATACTGTCGTGTCCGTTGAAGTGTCCTCTATCTTTTGGCATCGTCGTTATTATTGCTCGCGGACGTATTTTTCTGCAATACGGCCGGGAATAGATTTTTTCGGACGCGCCCACTACTTATTGCTGGTTTTACCCCCCTTATATTACTCCCCAGGTACATGATATTGACACTTTCGTGTCCGTTGAAGTGTCCTCTATCTGTTGGCATCATTGTTAATATTGCTTGCGGACGTATTTTTCGGCAATACGGCCAGCAATAGATTTTATCGGGCGCGCGCACTACTTATTGCTGGTTTTACCCCCCCCTAAATTACTCCCCAGGTACATGAAGTTGATACTGTCGTGTCCGTTGAAGTGTCCCCTATCTTTTGGCATCGTCGTTATTATTGCTCGCGGACGTATTTTTCCGCAATACGGCCGGGAATAGATTTTTTCGGGCGCGCCCACTACTTATTGCTGGTTTTACCCCCCTTATATTACTCCCCAGGTACATGATGTTGATACTGTCGTGTCCGTTGGAGTGTCCTCTATCTGTTGGCATCATTGTTAATATTGCTTGCGGACGTATTTTTCGGCAATACGGCCAGCAATAGATTTTATCGGGCGCGCGCACTATTTATTGCTGGTTTTACCCCCCCTAAATTACTCCCCAGGTACATGATGTTGATACTGTCAAGTCCGTTGAAGTGTCCTCTATCTGTTGGCGTCGTCGTTATTATTGCTCGCGGACGTATTTCTCCGCAATACGGCCAGCAATAGATTTGAAAGGGCGCGCGCACAACTTATTGCTAGTTTTACCCCCCTAAATTACTCCCCAGGTACATGAAGTTGATACTGTCGTGTCCGTTGAAGTGTCCCCTATCTTTTGGCATCGTCGTTATTATTGCTCGCGGACGTATTTTTCCGCAATACGGCCGGGAATAGATTTTTTCGGGCGCGCCCACTACTTATTGCTGGTTTTACCCCCCTTATATTACTCCCCAGGTACATGATGTTGATACTGTCGTGTCCGTTGGAGTGTCCTCTATCTGTTGGCATCATTGTTAATATTGCTTGCGGACGTATTTTTCGGCAATACGGCCAGCAATAAATTTTATCGGGCGCGCGCACTATTTATTGCTGGTTTTACCCCCCCTAAATTACTCCCCAGGTACATGATGTTGATACTGTCAAGTCCGTTGAAGTGTCCTCTATCTGTTGGCGTCGTCGTTATTATTGCTCGCGGACGTATTTCTCCGCAATACGGCCAGCAATAGATTTGAAAGGGCGCGCGCACAACTTATTGCTAGTTTTACCCCCCTTATATTACTCCCCAGGTACATGATGTTGATACTGTCGTGTCCGTTGAAGTGTCCTCTATCTGTTGGCATCGTCGTTAATATTGCTTGCGGACGTATTTTTCGGCAATACGGCCAGCAATAGATTTTATCGGGCGCGCGCACTACTTATTGCTGGTTTTACCCCCCCTAAATTACTCCCCAGGTACATGATGTTGATACTGTCGTGTCCGTTGAAGTGTACTCTATCTGTTGGCATCGTCGTTATTATTGCTCGCGGACGTATTTTTCCGCAATACGTTCGGGAATAGATTTTTTCGGGCGCGCCCACTACTTATTGCTGGTTTTACCCCCCCTAAATTACTGCCCAGGTACATGATGTTGATACTGTCGTGTCCGTTGAAGTGTCCTCTATCTGTTGGCATCGTCGTTATTATTGCTCGCGGACGTATTTTTCCGCAATACGGCCGGCAATAGATTTTTTCGGGCGCGCCCACTACTTATTGCTGACTTTACCCCCCTTTCTTATTCCCCAGGTACATGATATTGATACTGTTGTGTCCGTTTAACTGTCCTCTATCTGGTGACATCATCGGTTTCATGTTACGCGGTCGCATTTTGCCGCAAAACGGCCAGCAATAGATTTTAGCGGGCGGGCGTACTACTTATTGCCAAGTTATTGCCAGGTTCACACAAGTGCCTATGGGTACACTTCCACATCTGTTGGCACAAACAACCGAATGGAAATATCGATCGATATATCGAATTAAACAGTCGAATAATCAATATTACTCATTCGGTTTTTAGTGCTAACAGATATGGAAGTGTACCCAACGATATTTTTGTTACTGTACATCGATGTTTTTCATTACTAGAGAGTACAAAATGCAGACGAAAAACTGATAAAACATCAATGTTTTTTTATGGTTTTGCAACAATGTCATCAATCGACAACAGAACAATCGAATGTAATGGTTGACATCGATGTTGAACATTGATGGTTGGCCTATCAATGCTCATCCCTACCTCAAATGCCTAGCTTATATAACTTAAGGCAATCTAAAACACAAATCTCAGAGTGGAAACGATGTTTGCTTTGAAAAGTGCCAGGGGAAAGTGCTTGGAATTTTCTAATATAGCCAAACAAACTAAAGTTTGTAGAAATCACATGAGTGGATAAACTGTTCATTTACCTAAGTCTAAGTTAAATGTTCACAGGCTAAATAGGCTAGGCTACCCAAATGGTAAGTTAACTTCTAAACCAATTTTACACTAGGCCTAAAGGCTGATATTTAAAAACTATCAGGGGGAACTGATGAAGGGAAATGATGATCTGCTTACATCTATCAACCTTTAACACACAAACAGAACAGACATGGAATAACTGAGATCTTGACTTGATGTTACTCTAAAGACTGAAATTATAATAAAGCCTAACTGACCTGCTGAGCGCTAGCATTTTCTTCCTCAACAACAGTAACGGTGTTACTTTCAGCTACTTGATTGAGATTATTAGCGATTTCCGCCATCAGCTTCAGCTATGACAAATTGACATGCGTATGCATAAGTGAAATGTAAAAAGAAAGTGACAATTAATTTTGTATACAACCACCACAATAAATGTGACACTGACGACTGACGAGGACGAGTGGGAGTTGGGAGTAACGAGTGGGACTGACGTTAAAAGAAGAACAAGAACAAGAAGTTCTAGCATGCTGTTTTAAGCCCCCCACACACTACCAGACCAGACCTCCAGACCAGACCGTCTGGTCTGGCGTCTGGCACTTGTCTTATCGTGTGTGGGGCTGTCTGCAGACCGATTTTCTCGGACCAGACTGTCTGCGTGTCTGATGGTTGAACCCTCAGACCACAGACGGTCTGAGGTTCCCCCACCACTATTTTTGTCTGGTCTGTGAGTGTGTAGCGCTGTCTGTCAGACGGCCGACCATCGTGACAGTCTTCATCCATTTGTTGGAGTTCTCACCACCGTCTCTCAATTACGAATGTTAGACCGTCTGGTCTGGGAGTGTGTAGAGCCGTCCAAGACGGTCTGGTTGCAGCCAGACGGTCTGGTCTGGAGGTCTGGTCTGGTAGTGTGTGGGGGGGCTTAAGCCCCCCACACACTACCAGACCAGACCGTCTGGCTGCAACCAGACCGTCTTGGACGGCTCTACACACTCCCAGACCAGACGGTCCTAATTCGTAATTGAGAGACCGTGGTGAGAACTCCAACAAATGGATGAAGATTGTCACGATGGTCGGCCGTCTGACAGACAGCGCTACACACTCACAGACCAGACAAAAATAGTGGTGGGGGAACCTCAGACCGTCTGTTGTCTGAGGGTTCAACCATCAGACACGCAGACAGTCTGGTCCGAGAAAATCGGTCTGCAGACAGCCCCACACACAAGACAAGTGCCAGACGCCAGACCAGACGGTCTGGTCTGGAGGTCTGGTCTGGTAGTGTGTGGGGGGCTTTACTCGACGTTCTGGGTCTGTACCCACGAGCTACTCAGCTTCCACATGCACAACAGCATGACATAGGATAACAGCTATTTGTGTAATAGCTTCACTGTATATCTTTAATTGGACCTGTTTAGATAGTTGTTTCGTTTCAACGTTTCAACAGTTGCAGTTTGCAGTTGCGAACTGTGCATTGTGGTTTTGAGGTGTTTATTCTTTACTGCTTGTTTATTTTTGACTTGAGCTGCTTGAAAAGGTGTTTTATGATTATGAAAATTAAAGTATTAAAGTGTTGTGAGTGAGCTGAAGCTGATTATTTGTTATTAGGTATTAACAATTAAATATTTTGCGTGCATGAATTATTTATGAACTTTTAAATGTTCACTTAACCTATCTTTTTCGGATTCCTCAAGAAAGAGTGATTGTTAATGTTAAGTTGAGTTGCGTTTGTGTGTAAATTTGTTAGATTGGAGTTTTGGTAGTGGTAGGTCTGGTCTAGGTTTATTTTGATTAAGTTAGTTGGGCCTTTCAGTGGAGTTTAGGTCTAAGTTATTGCCTTTGAAAAAGTTAAATTAATAACTTATCTATTAATAAGAAGAGTATGCCTAAGTTAAGTTTACCTTAGAGGCTAACTTAGACCTACCACTACCAAAACTGCAATCTAACAAATTCACACACAAACAAACACCTAACCTAACCTAACAATCACTCTCTCTTGAGGAATCAGAAAAATATAGGTTAAAGTAAACATTTAAATCTTCATAATTAATTCATGCACGCAAAACATTTAGGCTAATTGTCAATACCTAATAACAAATCAGCTTCAGCACACTCACAAAACGTTAATTTTCATAATCATAAAACACCTTTTCAAGCAGCTCAAGTCAAAAGTAAACAAACAGTAAAGATTAAAGAATAAACACCTTTTCAAAATCACAATGCACAGTTCGCAACTGTAACTGTTGAAAAAACAACTATCTAAACAGAAACAGGTCCAATAAAGATATCCGGTGAAGCTATTACACAAATACCTGTTATCCCAGGAACTGTTCGAAGGCCTTCTGTGCTTGTTGAAGCTGAGGTGCTCGTGGGTACAGAACGTCGAGTCATGCTGTTTTTATAGCTCAGTGATTTTTTTTTTTAACGGCCGGCTTTGTTCGTAAAAACAATGCAGCAGCGTGGTTAGATATTTCGTGGGGTCCCAGTTTATCGACATCCCAAAAGATCGACACTGAAATAGTCCCACTTTGTCGACAACTCAAAATGGCGACAGTGTCGGTAATATGGGATGTCTGTAAAGTGGGATGTCGGTTATGTGGGATGTCTGTTATGTGGGACGGTTGTGTAAATTTTCCCACTTTATCGACACGCAAAATGTCGACAAGCAAAACAGATCGACAAAGAGCGGGAGATTCAAATTGAAGGTGAACAGCTCTTGCTGAACAGCTCGGTTGAGTCCAGATGCATATGTAATGGAGAGTCGTTCTTTTTCTTTACTCCGAACGACTTCTATTCACCGCGCTTGCAGTCTCCTTCAAATTTGGCAATGCTATCCCAACTATCATGTGTATATAAATTGTGTTCTGTTGTTTGAAGGCTTTAAAATAATCTGACATTTTGTCAAACTTGTATTATTATACTGTTTTTTTTTTTCGTGTAAGAAGAAGGTAGTTAAGACTTGCTACCTAGGCCAAAATTTGCTTGAGGATGATTATGATATCCATCCAAAGTTTTTTCAATCATAAATTTATATGAAATAGAAATATATAACGATATAGTAAATAGCTTTTTCATTTAACTTGCTAGCTTAGTGTTAAAACAGATCAACCCAAATAACAATTTTACGTTCTCCAGAACTTACATCGAAAATGAGGAAATGAAAAACTGCGTTAATTTTCCTAAACAAACTGCAGATGCTTTGATTCTTTTGTTAACCTTTCCATTACCAATATGGCAATCCATAAAAAGCAGTGACAACATAACATTTTGCAATTTCTTTCCAAACTATTTTGGAGAGCTTTAAAACAAATTATTTAGTATATTGAAGCATTGTTATGCGCCTAATGGTTACGGAGAAAACAGTTTAAAATTTAAACGGGCTCGAACGGGAAATTTCGTTACAACATACTGACTATACATCACTGCATTTACCTAGCAGTGTAGCCATGCTGCGGAAGGAAAGTTGAAATCAGGGGCGTAGTCTCGCTGAATTGAATTAAAAATCATTATTTTTAGCCTTAGCCAATCTATTACCGACCCTCTACGACCAAACTATACGTGACATTTGTTGTTCTACTACTTTTACTGAACCTCTTAAATTTTATCTCTAAGGTAGTATGTGTTAAAATGAAATTGTATTAGTTAAATAATCATTTGTCTAAAGAAATTTAACTTAAGTTAAATTTAACGTTCGTTGGTACCATTTTATTAAAACGAAAGGTTCGTAATTGTTTAAAAGTTGTTATTTGAGTGGAAATTAAATCGTAAAAGAAATTCATAATCATATTCTCAATTCATTTCTAAAGATTTGGATAGTTAAAAATATACTGTAATATGCTAACTGGCTAATGGTTTTTCATGATTTTTCACAGTTAGTAGGACTGCTGTCGGTGGACACGGTCATACCGATTATGACGGAGGGTGAGGACAATTGGTCCTGTGTGTCACATTATATCCAGGGTATTCTCCGCGCCAAGAAGATCGACCTTGACCGGGATGCGGTGTAGGTCATTAAGAATCTAAATGCCAGAAACGGTGCGAGCCCTGTGGGCTTAGGTCACATGTTGGCCTGACTTGAAGTAATGTGACAAACAATTCCAGGTCTGTGTCCAATAGAGTAGAGGGGGTTTTTTAGTGAGTAGTCTGATAATTTTCAGTCTCACACTACAGGCTGGCTACCTGTGTGCGTAAAAGCATTTTCCTCCTCTCCCTAAAAAAAAAAAATGGTTTTTCATGATCTTGTATTTCTGTAGCAGTCAGTCTTACAGTCACTTAACTGCATTCTCCGTAAAAAATATAACACTTCATAGATAAAACATTAAATTTAATGTAGTTTTTCCATAGGACGTCATTACAAAATGTAACAACGTCTATATGAGTTTTGCTTGTGTCATCATAATGAAAACTATGTTTGAGAGGGATAGACATCAAGTACATTTTTTTTTCAGAGGCTTTTTGGTCGATGCGCCATACTTCCTTAATAATATTCATCAATTTCGAAAATTAAGGCGCCACTTCAAATTTTGTATTAACTGCTACGCTGGAAAAATATTTCAAATACTTACATTTAGAACAAAAATAAATGTTATATTACAGTATCTCCATTCCGCCTTTTTTACTGTCTCCCCTATACACAGTATATGGAGTAAGTATTGATGTAGGCCTATTTGTTATTGATGCACTATTTGAATCTATGGTATTGTTTGCCAAAGCTGTCGAGTTTGTGGTTTGAATAAAAATATCCATTTTCGGTCTCCTTTAGCCCAATCTAAATATTCATAGGCAAGCATGTTTGTTTACAACTTTTTTCATCTCGTGTGCATTGCAGGGAAATTTTACGCATACTGCTGTAATAGTAGTTTACGCAACGATTGCGTTAAGTGAGTCTTTACGACACGAGTAGAAAATTTAAGGCACGAGCCTTGGCGAGTGCCTTAAAAACTTCTACGAGTGTCGTAAAGACTATTAACGCGAGTTGCGTACACTACTTTACCTACGACCGTTTTTTAATTACTATCAATCTGGATTTAATTACTAACAATCACTAATGATAACTTTTTAGAGAGGTTATGAATCAGCTGATTTCCTGTAATTACGTGTTTGTTAAACTTCGTTAAATATTACATCGCTAGCAGCATTCTTACCATAAATAATATTGTATCAGGTACAATTCGGCAAATATTTCATTTATTTTTGGACTTCCGCCAACTTAATTAAGAATACGCGAGTATCAACATGAACAAGTCGGATCAACAATTAGCTGATTAGTTGACGTTCGAAGCATTACAATTTTAATTCTTTTCTCTCAGTACTTGAACCTCATTGGTCCGTTACCTGTGTGGATATGAGAAAACTATGCGGATATGAAATGAAACTATGTGGATATGAAAGTAAACAGCTGTAAAGTGAAACTTTTCAATTCTAAGAACTGGACTGAAATGGCTACTTTAAAAAACGGTCGTAGGTAAAG